GACGTAGACAGCATCCGGAGACAGTGTCCATAGACATGACTGGGTGAGGTGAGGTGAAATTGGGTTTAACGTCGCGTCCAAGATTATTGCACTTATATAGCGACGTGCATGCACGTGTATGTGTGTGTGTGGCTGCTTGTACTAGTCCGGACTGATGCCGATTTATAGTGCTAGCTCACTGAGATACCATGCCGCAGTTTAACATGAATACCCCACTCAGACACAGTATACTGACTCCGAGCCGACCAGTCCTTGTTTTAGCCCCTTAATGCCGAGCGCCAGACAGGGTAACAACAAGTACAATCTTTTAACGTCTTTTTGTATGACGCGGCCCGGGATCGAACCCTGGACCTTCCGCTCACCGGGCGGACGCTCTACCACCAGACAGACATGACTGGGACAGTATACTGGACTGAGACGAGTCCGGGTTTCATCGGGACAGCTCTGTCGTGCACTGGTCTTCAGGCGTCGAGGAGAACATTTTTGCAAGGCTTGCGTTACTCAACGTCGGTTTTGGGGTGGAAGCGTAAGTGTATGGAGTGGCGTCACAAGTCATGGGGGAACACATTTACCATTGTTTATGACAAGTTGAATGTCGTACGCTACCGGGGCGACATGGATCGAGAACATGTTCTACCCTTTGTGCAAATGCAGGGACTTAACGTCACATTGCATCAGGATAATGCCCGCCCACATGTTGCACGTGTTGAAACGGACTGTTTAAGGCTGCATAATATTGCTGTACTGTCATGTCCGGTTGTTTCTAAAAACTTCTCCCTCATTGAACATGTTTGGGATGAGATGGATGGACACCTACGCCAGGACAATAAGCAGTAGCTAGTGCAAGCTCAGTTTGGTTGGCATTGGGACCTTCCTGCAAACTGTTTTCAATCATATGGTGTCTTGAATTTGCCGCCTCCCTTGATTCAACGCAAATGATAGTCACAGCTAATATCAACATTGTTAATTGATTTGTTACAACACCCAATGTTTAGGGCATGTCGATCTGTCTCCTGTTACAAGGTATAGGTGTAGGCAATGCGTTTGTTATGAAAAAACTTTGATCAGACGAATGTCCATACATAATGTTGTTATTTTCAATAATATAACATTTGCACCACAGTAACTTTCTAGAATACTTACTATACTGTATAAGGAGTAGCTGAAGAGTTCTGATCCTAACTACGAAAGATGAATAGTACACCTTTCACAGTTTGCATGCATTAAATACAATACTTAACATTGTATCCCACTTTCGTGGATCGATGCTCATATCAATCACTGGATTGTCTGGTTCAGACTCGCTTTTTTAACCGCTGTATTATAGCTGGAATATTGCTGAGTGTGGCGTAAAACAACAAACAAACAAACTTAGATGTGACTTGAAATTAAACAAGCAATGACAAAGAAAACCTGGCATAGAAGATTATTTTCACTTTAATCCATTATTGGCACATAAATATTATCAAGACAAGGTAATATCAAAGACATTAGCACAAATCAAAGGTTAGTCATGACCCAGAGTGGCTATGCCAATATTCGATAGTTGCTGTGTGAGTTTCATTGTCACTACTAATTACCATCTGCAGCCAATGATCCTTCACATGTGGAGAAAAAACACTTGTTCAATGAACTTGTACTTGTCAAGAAACAAATCATTTCTCTTTGGATTAAAATCTCATATTGTGTCCTCAAGGGCGAGCAATTATGTTACAGCAGGGCTCGTCACTGTGAAGATTCTTCAGTGTATTGCTTCTCGCTTTAAACTAGAGAACAAAAAACCTGAATGAACTGGAGATGTTTGCACCATCGCCATTTCCTCAAAGCTTAATGAACCACCATGTACTTCCGGCTCAAAAACAAGCAGCATGCTTGTGGAGTGGTAACCATGCCTCTGAAACCGACAAGAACCTTGACCTTTGACCTAAAGTTTTCAAAGCAGGGCCCCATCGTAGAGAAGGTATATACCAAATTTAATGAAACATGCATTAATACTTTTTGAAAATGGGTTAAAACCCAAAAGAAGTTCCCCTGGGCAATCTGTCAATAATCTTAATGTAGTATGACTTTATATGGAGAACAACTTTATTCTTTGTAATGATTCAGGGCTACTTCTTGCCCCTTTATTAGAAGTCAAATTAGCAAAAAGACTTAAAGCAGTCATGTTTTGTGGACAGTGAATTATTTGTGATCTTGCATTAAAGTGTGTAAATATGTGTTGTTTCATCTTCACTTTGATAGTGTTCTTCATCAAGCCCACATTTTGAAACTTATTTTATCATGTTGAATTGAATCACATTTCTATAAAAGCCAACTAATATCAGTTGATAAAAGATGTGAATAAAGGCAATAGACAATGATCTTAATATTATACAAATCAAGGATTCGAACCTCTGATCTGTAAATCCCTGTTCAACTAAGGGAGGCAACTCTGCACATGTTCAAGCATAATATAATCCTGAAACAGGTATAACCTTGAAAACAAAGTTTAGATGGTTCATTCAAAATTACTTAATCTAGTTGGTGTTTTGTCCATGGTGTTTCGGTCTATGTTTAGCCAACAATAATAATTGCAATTCACTAGTTAGAGATATTCCCTCAAGAATACAGGACATCTGACACTATGGATCATCTGATTAAATGTTCATTAAACACTCATCACAGTCATTCATTCTGACTCAGCATTTGTACAGTTTTCATACATAAATATAGTCACAGCACACAATATATATACATCAGTATCAACAAAGGGCAGAGTAAGTTACACTCAACAGCACTGAATGAAATTATACTTCAACAGAATAAAAATTAAGATGAAAAGGTAAGTTGAAAATAGAAACTGAACCCATCTGCGTTTTCAGCTTCATGCAACAATCAACACGTGAAGCCATTTTTATCATTTGTAATTTTCTTTAGAAAAGTGAAAAAAGAACATTATTTGCACAAGGACAGGAACAGTCTGCAACAAGCCACATGGTGTTGTTGGTCTTATCTCAAAGACATGAACTGTCTGCAATAAGCCAGACAGTGTTAAAGTTATATGCTCAAGGACAGGAACAGTCTGCAACAAGCCACATGGTGTTGTTGGTCTTATCTCAAAGACATGAACTGTCTGCAATAAGCCAGAGAGTGTTAAAGTTATATGCTCAAGGACAGGAACTGTCTGCGATAGCCCACATGGTGTGTAAGTTATGTGCTCAAACACACAAACAGTCTGCAACAGCATATATGTGTTGAAGTTGATGCGTGCTCAAGGACACAAAGTCTGCAACTTTTAAACATGGTGTTGAAGTTGATGCATGCTCAAGGACACGAAGTCTGCAACTTTTAAACATGGTGTTGAAATTGATACATGCTTAAAGACACAAAGTCTGCAACTTTTAAACATGGTGTTGATATTGATACATGCTTAAAGACACGAACAGTCTGCAACAAGCCACATGGGGTGAAGTCTGATCATGCTGAATGCATAATGAGGTGCAACATGGCCAGGCTTCCATACAGCTGTTCCGATTCAGTGGAAGGTGCACTGCAATACTTTGTGCCACAAAACAAGTATCACACTATAAAATCATTTATCATCCAAAACAGGTTCCCACATGAGATATAGCTTGGGTGAGATCAACCGATATCTACACTGTAGATATTACTGCATTGAAATTGCATCACAATGCTTTGCAGACCACTGTGACGTTACTCTTACCATGAGGTCACAATCAAATGACATCACTAATGGCTCTGCTACTGAAGATGTTAGCAGTACTTTTTACATTTAAGACACTGCTTATTACTGTCTACAAACGGAAAAAGTTGGAAGTTGATAAAAGTGGAAAAACTCCTTGGCAAGCCTTAGAGTTTTTCCTCTTTTATCAACTCGTGTTGATATATTTGATATCAAAATTCACGCAATTGTAATGTCATATGGTTTGGATTATACATACTACTTTCTGATCATACATCCAACTAGTCAGAAGTCATTGTTGGGCTGAATGACTCAAGGGTACTTAATTGTTTTGCTGGGTTTTCAGTATTTACATGATGGAACACAGAGCTTTAACTCGAGAAACAGAGGGTAGGTATGTAATTTCTCATGTATCGTATCAACATTGTTTTATGATGTATTCTACAATTATCACTACTGAGATGCCATACATACGATTTGTAAGACTAAGGGTTCGAAACACAAGCCCCATACACTGCTGTCACAAAACAACTTTGGGTAAAATGTTCCTAAATGTCTGAAGTTCTCTCTCTTCATGGAGGTGTAAGAGAGTTGTTGGAAAGTTCAGCATTGGATGAATGCTAGACACTTAAAGAGTTAATGCAAAGCCATTATGATTTGTATGTTCGTCTTTTGAAAGAATCGCTTTTAAGATTGAGGTTTTTGGGGGATGAAGGTGTGTGTCTTAAAACTTAAGGAATTAAGTTGTTTTATCCAACATCAATTCCTTTACATGCTTCAAAAGAAGTTAACAGGTCTCACATGTGCTTGACACACAGTTTCAGTGGCTGACACACCAAATAAAACTTCACCTAAATACTAAAAACAAACAATACAGTAAACAATCATAAACACATAATCAACAAAATATCCACTGTAACTGAACAGAAATAACAAGCTAAATAAAATACTTTAGAATAGAAGCAAAACTCAAAACAGTTTAACTGAATAATTTGAGCAGTAACAGGACAAATGAACTGAGATATTTATTGTCAATGTGCTTCTGAGAGTAGTCTTCATCTCTCAGTACTATCCCAACGTTTCAGACAGCAGGATTTGGATGCACCTCCTGTTTCATTTTAACTTCAGTATTGCATGCTATGGGAACAGATTGTTGTTGGTAAGTGGCAACTGTTGTGTCAATATGAAATGAATTTTATATCAGTCTCATTAAAATCAGATCTTAGTTTTTGCTACCGCAAAACAAAGATCTGAGGACATCCCATTACGGGTCACGTCAGAACGACCTTTTGCGAATTTTGACCGACCAATGAAATGACTGACAAGAAATCGACATTAGCCAATCAGAAGGCAGCTTTCTCGAGCTTTACGACACTAGTTTCAAACTGGCGACTACGTTTTGAAACATATTCTGACGTATTCTTGATTAAAAAAATTAAAACTAATAAGAAGAACACTCTTGAATGGCTTATAGACGGCCTAGATTGTGTGGATATAATCAGGAAGCCTGTGACTGTCGTTCGGAATACCCCGTGTTAAACATTTTGTGGTTGCATGATTAGAAAACACATTCCGACTGTCACTTTCATGATCTGGTAAGCGCTGCTCTGATTGGTTGGATGAAAGGTCGTTCTGACGTGACCCGTAATGGGATGTCCTCAGATCTTTGTTTAGCGATAGCGAGAACTAAGATCTGATCTTAATGAGATAGATTTTATATGAACAAATGATTTGCCAACTCCATCTTGTCCAGCCATGATTGATTTTGCCATCAATTCACATATTTATAGTCTGAGAGGAACCAGTTTCTCTCGCTTGGCAAGTACCTTCATCGCAATATATTGGCCATGTCTGTAGTTTTATTTGTCAGGGTAGACTTATGTTGTGCTCCCCATGACTGACATCTACCCCCATCAGTGATTGTTACAGCTAAATCTTCCTGGTTATGTACCAAAAGCGTGATTATCATCTAATTTGATACCTGTATGCCATGAAATGGTGAATATTCATGTTTTAATTATCGAGTCGATGTTACAATGATTCATTCACAATGAGTCACACATAATACTGGGAGAAGACAAGAGTACTAGTAAGGGGTCATGTGATCGAGATGAGGATTATTTAAAGATTTTTTGATTTTTTTAAAAAGGAAAAAAACCAAACCTGCTGCAGACTTTATGCCTGAGAATCAAGACTATTATTTTTTTTAGCCTAACCAATATTCCTTTTTCCAAGGAAATGTAGAAAAACGTAGATTTCCTTATCTCAAGTGGAGCCCTGAGTTCATTCAGTCTATTGTTGGAACCACATCAACAAATCAACTGTGACATCATGAAAATGGATGCCACCATCTTCCATTTCTTGCGACAGTGCGTTCAAATGTCATCACTTTGAAATAGACCTTATTGAAAACTGTGAAACAATGGAACAATTGGTGTAAACTAGCCAATCACCTTGAAACAAACATTAGAATATTCTGTGAGATACTTTCATCTATTTCTGTGCTGCTATGGGAAATATATGATCATAGTTTACAGTTAGGCAGAAAACAAACACAGCTTCTAAATAGATAAATGCAGTGTACAATCAGAATTTTATTCTCACACCTATTCTGCAAAATGTCTCCATTGAGGCTATAGTGCACTCACACATACTGGTAAAATTCTCAAATACATATGACATAAAAATCCCAAATAAAACAGCAGTTGTCACATCCGTAACCCCACTAGACATAACGCTGTAGTGGAAACCACTTTGGCAATACTGGTTAAGACTGGTTTAGACTAGCATGTACTGGAGTCTCCATCTGGTGTTGACTGGTCTGTACTGGTGCTGAGACATCATGTGTTTTGCTTCTTGCCGGACACGGGTTTTCTCTTTCTTGTTGTCAAAGCCTGAAACCAATTTGGGTTCCATGAATTCGAGATCAGGTTCACAGGATTCAAGTAGAGGTCTTGTTACTTTCATGATGGACTCATAATAAACAGCTACATGAACTCGGAAATCACCCAATATCATGTCTTAAGAACTGATTTATTTCATCAAATGCAGTGAATGTTCAGAAAGACTAACCAATTCAACCATGCAAGGTATCATCCAGTTATAAATCATTCATTGTAAACCAGGGATGAACATTTTTCAATGTTTTGTTGCCCTGTAAAATAATAATTATAATCAAAGGTTTGTGTGTAATTTATGCGACATTCAGCAATATTTCAACTAAAACACAGCTCCTTAAGTCCAGGCCTGACAAACTAGCAACAGATATTGTGGGGAACATCCCACATGGTCAGGGTACATTCCACAATCTAGCAAGACAAAAGGTAAAGGATTGAGCCCAACTACCCCATCCCATAAAGTCACCTCTTATGACCAGCAATAAAGGGCTGTAGGTGTCATGGGATCTGCTCACCTCAGCTGCAGAGTTCTCAGAGTTAGAGCTGGAGTACACTGGGTTTCTCTCCACAGTGGGATGATCCTCCTCTTCATCGTCCTCCTCCTTCTCAGCATCATGCTCACTCCCATCATCGTCAAGGAAACCATCTTCTTCTATGATCATTTCTTCATCAGTATCTGAAGGAGGGCAAGGTGCAAATTTGTGGTGATTTGATAGAATGTTGCATTTATAAAATTCAGTTTTTACAGTGAGTGAGTACGTGAGTTGGGTTTATGCCGCTTTTAACATTATTCCAGTTATATCACGGTGTGTCAGCTTAATGTGGGAGGAAAGCCCAAAGTGATGTAGGTCTCAGACGTTTACCACTTTGGAAAAACCCACGAGAACGGGTATGGTGCTGACAAACCGAGAAACATAATAGGGGTGAACCGGGATTCGAACCGACAATCACAGGTTCCTGGCGTGCCCAAGGGATGCAACTCTGCACAGTGAATGGCGGCGCCTTACACGACTGGGCCACCCGTGCCCCTCAGTTTTTAGAAGGGATTCTCAACGTAAACTGAATCCCAGCCTAGCCACACAGGCATCAGTTTAGCATCCCTACTTGCTCCTGGTTACAGAACACATAAATTAAATTTGAGAACGATTTATGGATGGGTGACATATTGAAAATCGGACTCGAACCTTTTGAACTAGCTCTGTTGAAATCATTGATGGGAACATAAAGAACAGCTTCATTGGACCTAATCAAAATTAATATCACAAAATTAGTTATCACTTCCAACTACACACATTGTGAAGAAAATGGCTGATTAATTGAGAATGGGATTTGAACCTCTTTGACAAATTCATGTGTCATCATGTCAGTCAGGTGAGCTAAAATACTGGGAACTGTCTGAGGACCTCATCTGAAATTCAATCTGCAATATAAAGTTGATGAAGCTGGATACTTACATTCAGTCTCGTAGTCATCATCTGTGAGGTAGAACACGGTGGACTTGGGCTTGGTGATCTTAGACACCTTCTCAGCCAGGTCAGTGAAGTAGGCCATCACAGGGACATGGGACTGCAACACAACCAGCAAATATCGCCATAACAACACACACAGGAAATATCCCCATAGCAACACACAGAGGAAATATCCCCATAGCAACACACACAGGAAATATCAAGACAGCAAAACAACCAGTAAATATCACCATAGCATCACACATAGGAAATATCACCATAGCAACACAACCAGGGATTATCACCATAGCAACACACAGAGGAAATATCACCATAGCAACACAACCAGGGATTATCACCATAGCATCACACATAGGAAATATCACCATAGCAACACAACCAGGGATTATCACCATAGCAACACACAGAGGAAATATCACCATAGCAACACAACCAGGAATTATCACCATGGCAACACAATCTGATATTAACAATATGGTGACAACATCTTAACACAGGTGTGTCTGAACTGCCATCTCGTGTCTTTGAGTGAGTGACAGCAGAAATTTTACCACTCAGCAATATTTCAGCAATGGGCTTCAAATACCCATGCCGGGAATTGGGGCAATTGGGTAGCCTCGAGGTTAAAGAGTTTGCTCGTCCTGCCGAAGACCCAGGTTCGATTCCCGACATGGGTACAATGTGTGAAGTCCATTTCTGATGTCCCCAGCATGATATAGCTGGAATATTGCTAAGAGTGGTTTTAAAACCACACCTACTAACTCACTCACCACGCCGTGAATCACAGCCTGACGAGTGAACAACTTAACCCCTGGCCACATCATGCCATGGAATGTTGGATACTAACACTACGTTCAATCTGGGAACTGCATCTCAGTACATTTGTATCCACGAAATGACAATAGGGCAATAGTTAGTTGAGCAAGCTCCACAACTACAGCACATGAGTATCCCTGTGTGTGACTCACCACCTGTTGTTGCTTCTTCTTCATCCCTGCTTCGGTTTCCTTCGTCTTTTCAATAAACAGTTTGTCCAGGTAGCCTCCCTTCATCCAGCCATTGAACAATGTCTTTCCATAGTGGTAGCCCACATCCTGGGAAGAGACAAATGGAAAATATGAGTGAGTGAGTGTATCTTTTCATCAAGGTATTTTTCATAGACTGATTTTCAGACCCAAGTCTACAAAATTGAATTTAAAATTTCACAATTCTGGTTGCCCTTAACAATAAGACCTGCATCACACTGGGCTCTCCTCCCACATTCAGTTTCTTAGGCAATCCAATTAAAATTGATTCCAGTTGCTCAAACACTTACTTTGTCTGATTACCCATTAATCTTATGTCAGGATGGATAAATTTTGCATTTTATGACACCAACTCTAATTCCACAAAAATAATCTCCCACATGTGACGCCATGTGTAGACCAAGGTAGGACATCAACCAAGTCACCAGGTCAGACCACCCAATCTATTTGGTCACCTCTTACAAGCAGCAAAGGTTGCTGGGGACCTATTGTAGCTGGGAATCCCCACAGGGTTGCCCCACAGGGTTTCCCCACAGGGTTGCCGTGAATGAATCGTTAAGGAACACCAACTCACTGAGATCTCATCATAGCTGCCAAATTGAAGAGTACCATACTTGTCAATGGGCGGCCTCATGTATTCACAGTAGTCGCTGCTCTTGACCAAGTCAAGTTGTCGCACACACGACACGTACGCCAGACGGGACTGGATCTCCGTCATGTCCAGAACCTGAACACAGGAAAGAAATCGGAGTCACTATATGTCTATGTCATAGTGTTACAGGTATAGAACGTACTGGCTATTCACTGAGGCTAAAAATAATAAGTCTTTGTTCACAGTCACCGCCTGCATCATTATTAAGTTCACTGCATGTCACCAAAAAAATCCTTAAATATTCTAAGTCCAACGGTAGTCAAAAACAAGTATACCAGAACTTTACTTGTCAAGGAATAAATTTTGTAGGGAGGCCCTATCCAGGTTGATTGTACACAACTGTTCATTTGGCTACATGTTAGTAGCCTTCCCCCCAACCACACACCCCCACCACGAAAACCTACAAAAAGCCACACCGCCAGCCCGCACTATATTTTCAAAAACATTGCCTAAGAACCAATTCTTTTATTGTTTTGAGCCTTAATCATAGCCTCATCGTTGAAATAGAATGGATGAAGATAGGTTTTTTAAGTCTTATACAGAACAGCTTCTGTCAGAGCTGAACATTTGAAACTCAAGCAAATGCCTATATCAATTTACAAATGGGTGATCAAGAAATCACTATGTGATCTGAGATACCTCTTCTTCTCACACAGGCAATATCTCCAGCAGGTGTCAGTACTGGATAACAATTCCAGTTACATGACAACATTCCATGTCCTGTTGCTACTCCCTTAATGCATGGCTCTACTTGGACGAAGTTGAGGTGAAATGTGGTTTAATGTTTCTTTCAAAATTATAGCACTACTTAAGCGACGAGCATGCATGTGTGAGTGTGGCTGCTTGTACTGGTCTTGACTTATGCCAGCTCTATAGTGCTCATGCTAACCCACTAAGATAGCATACTGCAGTTTGACATGGATAGCCGATTCAAATACAGTATATGACTACCAACCGAATACAGGTAGTCCTTGTTTTGGCCCCTTAATGTTGAGCGTAACCAGGGTTACAACAAGTACCATCTTTTAGGTCTTTCAGTATGATGTGACCGGGGATAAAATCACCTCTCCAAGCACAAGCTCTATCCACTAGACCATGGAGATGGCTTTAATTGGAATAACATAATGGCGATAATGGTAAGTGCTAACCTTCATCTCCACACATGCAGCGTGGGTTGAATTATGCTCTCTTGGAAACTGATTCCATAAAATATAAACCTATACTTTCACCAGTGTGATATATTTAAAAAACACCTCTAATCTTTATTTTTATGTGGGGTGTCACAGACATGCCCCAACCATAATACTGAATTTCACACTGGAAACTGATGCTGACAAATCCTACCTTGACATTCTCTGTCCATGGATTCCAACGTTTCCATAGCAACCACCATCCTGAGACTTGATCCCCATAGTTGAGGAAGTTGGACTCCTCCTCACTGCCGACATCCAGGGCCAGGATTGTCTGTGCCCCGAACGCCCTCATCACATCAGCTGAAGGAACACACGTTTTTACATTAATACCTACTGAAGCACAGAAATTCATCGAAATCAATTCTTACATACCATTGCTCCGCTCCACAAAGTGATCTTAGCATTTGATGATCGTAAGCCTCTGTTAAAATATGTGAGTTACGATCACCTTAGCGCTAAGACTGTTTTTGCGGACCGCAGCATAATCAGGCATTTCTGGGATTCAAAACTAGGAACTCCTATCCAAGAAGTTGGGATTTCTGCCATGAGTGGTATTTTCGGATACAGCCTGGAAAAAGAACTGTTCCTTTTTAAAGACAACATTTGTTTGTTTACCTGGTACATTGTTGACGTATCCTCCGTCCAGCAGGTGGTGACCATCCATTGGGTCACACATGGGCGGCAGGTAGCCGGACAGTGACATGGATGCTCGCACATACCGCCACAAACTACCTGTGCACACAACATACACATCTGATGTCAATGCATTATATTGGAAATTAAACAATATTAGCTAAGCAGACTTTATTTCTGATTTTAGACCCCCATTATACCAGATAATACAAACTGTCACAAATTAGGGCTAGAATCTCTGCATCATGTGGATATTGGGAAGCAACATTATTTTGTGAATTTGTTACAGGTTGATGCCCACCATGTCGACCACTGGTTCATCCTGGCAGAATTTGATTCACAGTATCGTGTTTTTTCAGCCAAAAACTTAATGGCTGGCATCTCTGCGTAATAGCCTCATAAAATGAGGAGACGCTTGGACCAACTCTTCTCCTGCCATCACAGATGTCGAGTAGAGTTGTAGAGGAGACACTGACCTGTTGTGTGTATCCTCATGCTGGAGTTGGAGATGTCGGTGGTCACACAGAAGAACGGCAGCCACAAGTCCTCCACCTGCCTGTCCTTGAACACCTGCTCGATGCATCGGTTGAAAGCACCACCTGTCAACATGGTGAATATACATTGATTGAAAGCACCACCTGTCAACATGGTGAATACACATTGATTGAAAGCACCACCTGTCAACATGGTGAATATACATTGATTGAAAGCACCACCTGTCAACATGGTGAATATACATTGATTGAAAGCACCACCTGTCAACATGGTGAATATACATTGATTGAAAGCACCGCCTGTCAACATGGTGAATACACATTGATTGAAAGCACCGCCTGTCAACATGCTAATTACACATTGGTTGAAAGCACCGCCTGTCAACATGCTAATTACACATTGGTTGAAAGCACCGCCTGTCAACATGCTAATTACACATTGGTTGAAAGCACCACCTGTCAACATGGTGAATACACATTGATTGAAAGCACCGCCTGTCAACATGCTAATTACACATTGATTGAAAGCACTGCCTGTCAACATGCTAATTACACATTGGTTGAAAGCACCGCCTGTCAACATGCTAATTACACATTGGTTGAAAGCACCGCCTGTCAACATGCTAATTACACATTGGTTGAAAGCACCGCCTGTCAACATGGTGAATATACATTGGTTGAAAGCACCGCCTGTCAACATGCTAATTACACATTGATTGAAAGCACCGCCTGTCAACATGCTAATTACACATTGGTTGAAAGCACCGCCTGTCAACATGCTAATTACACATTGGTTGAAAGCACCGCCTGTCAACATGCTATTTACACATTGGTTGAAAGCACCGCCTGTCAACATGGTGAATATACATTGGTTGAAAGCACCGCCTGTCAACATGCTAATTACACATTGGTTGAAAGCACCGCCTGTCAACATGCTAATTACACATTGGTTGAAAGCACCGCCTGTCAACATGGTGAATATACATTGGTTGAAAGCACCGCCTGTCAACATGCTAATTACACATTGGTTGAAAGCACCGCCTGTCAACATGCTAATTACACATCGGTTGAAAGCACCGCCTGTCAACATGCTAATTACACATTGGTTGAAAGCACCGCCTGTCAACATGCTATTTACACATTGGTTGAAAGCACCGCCTGTCAACATGGTGAATATACATTGGTTGAAAGCACCGCCTGTCAACATGCTAATTACACATTGGTTGAAAGCACCGCCTGTCAACATGCTAATTACACATTGGTTGAAAGCACCGCCTGTCAACATGCTAATTACACATTGGTTGAAAGCACCGCCTGTCAACATGCTAATTACACATTGGTTGAAAGCACCGCCTGTCAACATGCTAATTACACATTGGTTGAAAGCACCACCTGTCAACATGGTGAATACACATTGATTGAAAGCACCGCCTGTCAACATGCTAATTACACATTGATTGAAAGCACCGCCTGTCAACATGCTAATTACACATTGGTTGAAAGCACCGCCTGTCAACATGCTAATTACACATTGGTTGAAAGCACCGCCTGTCAACATGCTAATTACACATTGGTTGAAAGCACCGCCTGTCAACATGGTGAATATACATTGGTTGAAAGCACCGCCTGTCAACATGCTAATTACACATTGATTGAAAGCACCGCCTGTCAACATGCTAATTACACATTGGTTGAAAGCACCGCCTGTCAACATGCTAATTACACATTGGTTGAAAGCACCGCCTGTCAACATGCTATTTACACATTGGTTGAAAGCACCGCCTGTCAACATGGTGAATATACATTGGTTGAAAGCACCGCCTGTCAACATGCTAATTACACACTGGTTGAAAGCACCGCCTGTCAACATGCTAATTACACATTGGTTGAAAGCACCGCCTGTCAACATGGTGAATATACATTGGTTGAAAGCACCGCCTGTCAACATGCTAATTACACATTGGTTGAAAGCACCGCCTGTCAACATGCTAATTACACATCGGTTGAAAGCACCGCCTGACAAACATGCTAATTACACATTGGTTGAAAGCACCACCTGTCAACATGGTAAATACACATCGGTTGAAGGCACTGGCTGTCAACATGGTAAATGTACACTATTTTAGAACACCAACTGTCAACTGTCTACAATTTATCTAGCTGACTACAATCTATCCAGTTGAATCTCACCTGTAAACATGGAGGTAACTGGGTATGTCAGATCAATAATTTTCTTCCAGAGAGATGTCATGTCCTGTGAAATAAAACAAATTTATAGCAGGACTGGGACAGGTGACTCTGGGACTTGGTGGGCCCTGTGGTTAGTCACAAGATATACTGGTTAATGACACTAAAACTCCATAGTTACAATACTGTTACTGTAACGGTAGTCAGTCAGATATGGTAATAAGATATTTTAATTGCGCTTTATTGTTTCTTCTCATTAGTGGTGAGTATTGTTTTTAGCTCCCCTGGGGTTATGGAGCGAGTAACATGCTTTTCGGTGAGAAAGGCCTATGTTTATCCGCATTCCGTCAAGATGTTTTACGGATTTCTGGGAATTGGACAACTGTGAGTTCTCTATATTAGAAATTCTGTAAAATAAACATCATGAATACTCAGTTTCTCCGTTCAGGGTTTTCAAAAACATTATAGTCACTAATATTCACTATGCACACATTGCTTCTGACTTTTACATGTTTGAGTAAGGATAAGGCATACACACTTATAGCAAGGACTAATTTACAAACAAAATACTGGTATTCTATGCATATACCTACTTATCACAGGGACTAATTTTTAAAAAAAATACTGGTATTCTATGCATATCACATGGACTAATTTACTAAGTATTGGCATTCTATGCCTATACCTACACACAGCATGGACTAATTTACAAACAAAATACTGGCATTCTATGCCTATACCTACACACAGCATGGACTAATTTACAAACAAAATACTGGTATTCTATGCCTATACCTACTTATCACAGGAACTATATTTTTTTTTAAAATACTGGTATTCTATGCATATCACATGGACTAATTTACAAAGTACTGGCATTCTATGCCTATACCTACACACAGCATGGACTAATTTACAAACAAAATACTGGTATTCTATGCCTATACCTACTTATCACAGGGACTAATTTTTAAAAAAAATACTGGTATTCTATGCATATCACATGGACTAATTTACAAAGTACTGGCATTCTATGCCTATACCTACACACAGCATGGACTAATTTACAAACAAAATACTGGTATTCTATGCCTATACCTACTTATCACAGGGACTAATTTTTAAAAAAAATACTGGTATTCTATGCATATCACATGGACTAATTTACAAAGTACTGGCATTCTATGCCTATACCTACACACAGCATGGACTAATTTACAAACAAAATACTGGTATTCTATGCATATACCTACTTATCACAGGGACTAATTTTTAAAAAAAATACTGGTATTCTATGCATATCACATGGACTAATTTACAAAGTACTGGCATTCTATGCCCATACCTACACACAGCATGGACTAATTTACAAACAAAATACTGGTATTCTTTTCCCATACCTACTTGCAGCATGGACTTCCTCTCATTATTTTAGAACAGTACACCTTGTTCACAACATGGCAATCTACAGACCCCAGCAAACGGTGGACGTGTTAGACACTGACATCATGTCAAATAAATCAAAGGAATTAGATAATCTTATGTTACAGAGGGGTATATCCTTTTTCAATGATATTGAAGGGGTTGTTTTATATACAAGCTGAGCTGTCATAAATGCGGTGAAATACAGAACTTTCCCAATAGTCACAATGGCATCATAGGATCCCAGCCCAGGTTATTGACAGACTCCGGTCAATTAAGCACTGTTTATCATTAGTCTGTGTCAGAGAATAGTGAGCAATGCCATATCAGCAATTGTTGCTGCAGTTTATGGTCAGTCTTGGCTGGTGAGCACTCAACATCTACCAAGTTCTCAACTCTTTGATGACCAGGGGGCACGGGTGGCCCAGTCGTCTAAGGCGCAGCGATTCGCTGCGCAGAGTTGCATCCCTTGGGCACGCCAGAAACCTATGATTGTGGGTTCGAATCCCGGTTCGCCCCGATTATGTTTCTAGGTTTGTCAGCACCATACCCGTGCTCATGTGTTTCACCGAAGTTGTAAACGTCTGAGACCTGCATCACTTCGGCTTTCCTCCCACATTAAGCTGACACGCCCTGATGTAAATGGAATACTGTTAAAAGCGGCGTTAAATCCAACTCACTCACTCACTTTGATGACAAGATCCTGTTTAACCGGTACGCCCCCTATTAACAATAATAACAAGGAAATGGATTCACAATACGTAAGAACTGCACTGAAGTAAATGATCACTATGTTGTTGATACCAGCCAACGACACATCTCCACCATACAGTGACACAACTCACCATTGACCATTCTCTGCCTCGCTGAGTGAAGCGAGTGTAGTTCTGCTCTTCACACCAGAGGGCGCCGATGAAGGACCCCATACTCGTCCCCCCTACCATGTCAATGGGGATACCCGCTTCTGTGATCGCCTTGATCATACCAACGTGAGACAGTCCTCTGTGGGAAGAACACATTCAGCAGTTCATACTAAACTTCAATGATTCACATTTACAGGGAATTGTGTAAACTTAACTAATGACATAGATTATGTAAATGTGCAAGCATTTCCTTATATTACACAGCCCCCTGGCCAGTTCATCCCCTCCACTCATCTCCCTTCTTCTTACCGAGCCCTACTCCACCTTTCTCACTTCCTGGCCCTTCCTTTGCTGTGCAGCTCTCTCCCATATCATCTAGCTGCTCTCCCAGCAATATTGCCCTTCTTTCTCCTCCCTCCCCCCACACTCACACTCTCACCTAGCTCCTCCCTCACCTCTTTAATCCCCTACCCCTACTCCCTCCTGGCTCCCCCTCACCTCTTTAATCTACCCCACCCACACTCCCACCTGGCCCCTCCTTCATCTTTTTAATCCACCCCAACCCCACCACCCTTCCCTCATGTCTCCTCCTTCACCTCTTTAATACCCCATCCCACTTCCTCATGTCTCCTCCTTCACCTCTTTATATCCCCCACCCCACTCTCACCCAGCTCATCCTGCACCTCTTTAATCCCCCACCCCACTCTCACCCAGCTCCTCCTTCGCCTCTTTAATCCTCCCACTCTCACATGGCTCCTCCCTCACCTCTTAACCCCCTCCCATTCTCACCCGGCTCCTGCCTCACCTCTTTATCTCTCCCATTGTCACCTGGCACCTCCCTCACCTCTTAACCCCCTCCCATTCTCATCTGGCTTCTCCCTCACTTCTTAAACCCCTCCCTTCTCACCTGGCTCCTGCCTCCCTTCTTAACCCCCTCCCATTCTCACCTGGCTCCTCCCTCACCTCCTAATCCCTCCAATTCTCACCTGGTTCCTCCCCGACCTCTCTAAACCACCCTTTCTCACCTGGCTCCTCCCCCGCCCAGTACCAGGCCAATGGATGTTCCTGTGAGATAGCGAGCCAGCCTGGAGAAGTCCTTCTGGCGGTGTGGCGGTTTCTCAAATAGTTTGCTATACATATCAAGCTGAAACAAACCAGTGAGTGGCATCTTGAATTCCTCCAGAATACAATAAACACTCAGTCTTCATTACAAGTTCACAGTACAGTCAAAATTAATACAAGATACTTCATAAGCAGTATTCAGTATATTCGTTTGCAAAAACTAACAAAGAAGGACAGCCATGAGATGTTTGTTTAAGAACACTGTATACTGACAAATTTCACTTTCAGAGATCTTGTTGCAGTCCTCAAGCTCACATGCTAGACATGCTAGAAGTAGTCATTTCTGCATTATCATTTTAGATTTTAATGTGAACATACAGCTTCTATAAGCTACGAATACCAGACCAATTAATGTTTTTCCGTAACTTTGGGCAAGTGGTTAATGTCACGGACACATTTTACAACTGATGTATGTACTTACTCTCTTTTGCAGAGGTTTTTTACTGAAGACCCGGGGTGGACAGCGGATGTGATGGTGATGAGAGCACCAGTCTCGAGCGTTGAGCCAGTCCGCCGTCCGCCGCGGCGTCTCCGCATCCTCCCTGTGGAGCAACACCAACTCCTTCTGGGCCCTGATAGCGATACCCTCTAGCTCCTTCTCAACCTGGCAACATAGCAGAGTCAGGAGGATAGTCATTGCCAGTGAAATATACACCAGCCTACCAGGAGCCCCATCAAGTTTCATTTCTGTTTGAATTAGGGGTGGAACATTTCACCAAGTCAGTTCGTTGTTACTAACCATATGCATGATCTTTAACCATATAATTTCCAATCCAAGTTTTCAACATTACCGGAAACATGTGAAACATTAGTCTTGGCAGTTGTAGTGGAAAAGAGCATGGTGTGTGACGTTTCTGATTGTGTGGTGGTGGTGTTTAAGCGGGATCAAACTTGAATGAACTGTTGTTATGTTGTGCCAAAAGTACTGATTCGTTGGATCATGTATCAGTACAAAACAATACACATATATCTAAGTGGGCATGTAAAATCATATGAAAATTAATTGTAGTATTTTCTGCTGTTATGTACAACTTTATAATTAGTCATCCAATATTATTGCACTTAAACAGCGACGTGTGTGTGTGTGTGTGTGTGTGTGTGTGTGTGTGTGTGTGTGTGCGTGCGTGCGTGCGTGCGTGCGTGCGTGCGTGCGTGCGTGCGTGTGCGTGCGCACAAGCTTTTAACGTCTTTTGGTACGATGCGCCCGTCGACCGAACACAGATCTTCCGCTCTCCGGGCGTAAGCTCTACCACTAGACCACGGAGGCAGTCTCTAAGTGTTGAACTGCCATGGGGAGGTTCCATCTGATGCTATCATCAATAAGCTTGTGTTGTGGGTTTTATTTCTAAAAATCAATTCCTGATGACTGTTGGTACATAGTGCTCTGGCCAACTGATCATTGTGAAACATGTGTGGGCTGCAATCTGACTGGTTCAAATACGTGAACAAATGGGATTTGAAGTCTGGAAATCCTTGGGACTATTCAGTGAAATACCCGACCTCTAAAATATATGCTTGATAAATATTTGGTGTCAATAAAAATATACATCCTTTGCTATCTTGTTACAGATAAATGTAACATACTGTATGTATCGGATTGTGATACCAAGTTGACATCAACAACACTATCCATTATGGAATACACTACATGTACTAAGGACTTAAACACTGATATTACTGGTCACTCACGGTGCCCACGGTGTGGTCATGGTCAGCCTGAGCCACGATGAGGATAAAAATATACATTCTTTGCTATCTTGTTACAGATAAATGTAACATATGTATCGGATTGTGATACCAAGTTGACATTAACAACACTATCCATTATGGAATACACGACATGTACTATGTCACTGGTCACTCACGGTGCCCACGGTGTGGTCATGGTCAGCCTGAGCCACGATGAGGATGCAGTCGGCCTGCCTGATGCAGTTCTTGGTCCACCTGGTCATGGTGTAGTCACACTGGTACAGCACCATGCGGTGGATGTCCTCCTGCTGCCCCAGCCAGCTGAACAGGCGGAACTCGTTCACACTGAAAACAACACATAGTCAGGTCATCAGTCTTAGAACTGCATCGATTAATTATTGGTTTGTTGTTCAGCACTGCATTCATCAATATAACAGCTATATGAAAGTGGCCTGTAAATAATCTAGTCTGGACCAGACCATTCAGTGATATTGTGAGCAATGATACACATTGTCAGGGAATGACGACATGCAATCAACCACTAAGTCCAACTACCCAATCCATTTGTTTGTTTGTTGTTTGTTTAACGCTGCACTCTACCAAATTCTACCTATATGACCGCGGTCTGTAGATAATCAAGTGATTGATATCATGAGCATTGATCTACGCAATTGGGATATGATGACATGCATCAACCAGGTCAGCGAGTCTGACCACCCGACAAACAGAGTCGCCTTTTATGGCAAGCATGGTCTGCTAAAGACCTGTTCTAACCCGGATCTTCACAGGTCCGTGATCAATTTGGTTACAAGCTTCCAAATTAGGCAAATATTCAATCCCCATCAACTTCCAGTCACAATGCACCTAATAACCCCAATTACAACGCAAATATTGACAATAAATCTTATCATATAGTTCCAGCTTGGCAACTCTCAAGAGTTGGGAACAAAATGTCTGATTGGGAATTGTTTTACAGCAGCCCTGGCAAAAACTATTTAGATACATGTATCAAACAATCAGATCATGGGTACACTGAAGTTGACTCGCAAATATATACAAGTCAAAATGAATGTGCGCATCGTCAGAAAAAAATGCGAACATTAGCGACTTTATGGTATTTTAACCAATGACATATTGTGATTTTTGGTCATTAAACAATATATCACATGACTTACCACAGGTCCGGGTAGTCCTGTGGGTACCCGGGTCCTACTCAGTACCCACCCGACCCGAGTACCCGAGTTGCCAGTCCCAGCCTTAGCTTACATTATTATTACCCCTAGCCAATCAATGAGTGTCACTCATAACCAAGTAGAAGATGGAGGCTACAACTTACCTGTCCAGAGCAGAGCTGCCTAGTCGAGTTTTGATGATATCACTTGACAGACGAGTCGTCAGACCTGTTACGAGATATAACAACAGTTGATTATTTCAGCTCTGCTGGTCTCGTCCTCATTACAAGGGCTGTTACGATTCATTCCCCTATTCGGTGAATCGAACCGTATCCATTTATGAATTGAATTCGTTATTCGTGGCCACTAGAATCGAATGGTTATAAATATGTAGTCATGTGCATTTACATATTCTGTACCTAAAAATATCAATGAGAACATATTATATGCATAGATTTCTTCAAAGACAGCGCTCTTAATATATTTAATTTGACAGTATTGTGGTCACTGGTCATTGTCTCATTTGAGCAGATACTAGTACCTGGATAAGTGCAGTACATATAAATGTTTACTATATTAATAATTAACAAAGCTTGTCAAATAGTTTATGTTGTTTCACTGAATATAACAAATAATACATCAACTGCTGACTTGTTATTGTATTCATGGATTAATATTCATATTCGTCACCCAAAATTCATGATACGAATCGTATTCCCCTTATGGTGTATTCCTTGCAGCCCTACTCATTTCGCATTATCAGTGTGATCAACACAGGGGTATAGTGATGTGGGTAAGCAACAGTATTCTTCAAGATGCATTTCACATTTCAAAATTCACTCATCAAATGTTCTCGGTTTACAGATTCTTCAAACTGGGGGAGAAAGGTGAGCTAAATGAGGTTTTAACATTGCATCTATCATTTTTGCACTTGATTAACATGCATATTTCAGTCGACCGCAGGATTTGCAAAGCATGTGTACCGTCAACTGGGCGTCGACAGATATTTTATGAATCTTTTCATTTTTTAATCAATGTTCTCAAGTGATTTGATGCATTTCACTGATTTAGACCCGTTTTGTTACAAGATAGATCTTGATTATCGATCAGACAGGGCGCCGCCATATTGTTGGAAGCAAATGCAAGTGATGAGAGGTGGAATCTGTTTGGTTGATAGAAGGGACATAGAAGTTGTTTTTGTTTGTTATTTCACACCACACTCAGCAATATTCCAGCTATATGCAGCGGTCTGTTAACAATTGAGTCTGGACCAGACAATCCAGTGATTGAAATCATGAGCAACGATCCACACAAATGGGACACGATGACAGGCATCAACCAAGTCAGCAAACCTGACCACCCGATCCCGACAAGCATTGTCGCCCCTCATGGCAAGGATAGGTTGCTGAGGACCTATTATCTACCGGATCTTCCTTCACTGGTCTATTGTCCATAAGACTCCTTGTCATAGTTTAGTAACTGCATGTATTCACCGATAGCGCTGAGGTTGTGCTGCAGTTCCAGCGTGAAGTTGGTGAGGGGAACATCATCCGAAGCTGGCAACACGGCCACGGTTGCTAGGTTACACACTGACCGGCTTTCTAAACCAGGGTTGTCGGCTTGAAGGACAAAGAAAACAGTCAAGATTCTTTATTTACATATAAATAACAAATACTACATATAACTGTAAGTTTGAAGGAAAATGTCAGCAAAACTTGCCAAAGTGGAATTAAACATTTTCCAATTTGTCTGCCAAGGGCACTTAGTTTAGAATCCTAGATAAATCCCTGAGCATGTACAGTGATTAGTTTAGACCCTGAAACACGACCTTCTTGATGATTGCTACCAGAAACTTTTACATACCAAACGACACCATCTGTACCCAGGTGTCTGTATCTGGAAATTTGTCATTTCTGATGATTTCACAGGGACCACTACCGTGTGTTTGTTTGTTTGTTGAACGCCGCACTCAGCAATATTCCAGCTATACGACGGCGGTCTGTAAATAATCGAGTCTGGACCAGACAATCCAGTCACTGATATCAGGTGCATCTATCCACACAATTGGGATATGATGATATGCACCAACCACGTCAGCAAGCCTGACCACCCGATCCCGTTAGTTGCCTCTTACGACAAGCAAAGTTTGCTATTATGGCAAGCATGGGTTGCTGAAGACCCGGATCTTCACGAGTCATGTGGATAATCTGGGTTTCAGTGTACCAGCTTGACGAGTGTGTCCCTCTACCTATACTTACTTCTGAAGGGCATAGATATGTGAGCACCGAGCGTGTTCCGACTCTGCAGATTTCCCAGAATCCTCTGGCCTAGTAGGTGGATAAGTCGGGTGACAATCTGTGGATACTTCCTCTTGATGAGATTCAGCAACTCCGAGGGCATCTTAGCAACCTCTGTGTCTCTGGAAGTGAGTCCATTACAAACCAGGTGAAATCACCAACCTTAGTAATGTCTTACATAACATTGCTAGCTTTTAAGTGAATGAGTGTGTTGGGTTTAATGCATCTTCCCGAGGCAAGGGAGTTAACTGACTTTAAAAGTCCAGCTTCCACGCTTGCCGAATAAGGCTGGAATTCCTGTGCTTGATCGTAGCGCCACCAGTGGTAAGTACGAGTTATGTCCCTTCTAAGCCTCTCCTATGGACAATCAGATTCCACGTCTCTCATCACTTGCATTTGTTTCAAACAAAATGGTGGCGCCCAGTCAAGACAATCTGATCGGTAATCAAGATCTATATTGTGATAAAACAGGTCTTACATCGCGAAGTGCATCAAATCAAGTGAGCACCTTGATTGAAAACATAAAACAAAGACTTGGAAAATATCTGTTGACGACAAGTTGGCGGTGCACATGCTTTGCAAATCCTGTAATTGTCCGAAATCTGCACAACAGTTTACTAACTGGATTTTGATTTCATTGCACGATTTTGATTAGACTATGCATAGACTCGCTAGTCAAGCCAAAATATAACTCCATAATACCAGCCTAGTTCGGCAAGGGTGGAAACTGGACTTTTAAAGTCAGTTAACTCTCTTGCCTCGGGAAGATGGGTTTAATGCTGCTTTGAAAAGTATCTCAGTTTTATCACCTGGGAAATCAAACAACAATCATGTGTTCCTGGCAAGCTTAAAGGGACACAAATCTGCAGTGAATTACTGTGACCAAGATGGTCTAGGTTATGCCTGCATTTGATCAGCAGAAAAAGAAATGTAACGATATTCGTGAACACAAGCTGAATAGGCTACATTTGATAATTACACACAGTGTTGTCATATAAGGGTTTTTTAAAGATTATACATGCATAATTTTAAGCAAGCAACTAAAACTCGACTAGGTAATAGTGATTTATTTTGCGAATATTACGTGAGTGAGTATGGTCTTACGCCACTTTTAGCAATATTCCGCAAGATCACAGCGGGGTCACCACTCGGTAACCCCACCGCCCTTCAAATATTACAAAAAACGCAGCTCTGTAGATTGAGTAAGATGTGGCAAATCATCACATGTTGTTGGCCTGGGATATTACCTCACTGCCATGACGGTGGTGGCCCTCTCCGTCTGTGTCAGGACCTCGACGATGCCGACCAGCTCCCCACGACCATATTCCTCCACCAATTCCTTCTTGCCTCCAAGCAGAGTGATCACAGACCGCAGGCGCCCCGTCAACACGATAAACACACTCTCCGAGTTGTCACCTTGTCTGGGATCCAACAGAAACCAGATAAAGCTTTTAAACCAAACAAGACACACAAAATGAAACCCACTAGATCCAATACTACGGGGAAAAAAATATTAAATCAGGGTTGGAGTAAAGGTCTTTGTATTTATGAAGATGGAGCGTCTTGTGATCTTCCAGAAAACTATATCCAGACTAGCAGGGTTTCACTGCACGACTCCTCTAAAACTCTTTCCTTATATTAGAGTGAGTCAGTGAGTCAGTTGGGTTTAATGCTGCTTTGAACAGTATTCAGTTATATCACGGCCCAATTGATGCAGGTCTCAGACATTTACCACTTTCGTGAAACTCACAAGCATGGGTATAGTGCTGACAAATCTAGAAACATAATTGGGGTGAACTGGGATTTGAACCCACAATCACAGGTCACTGGCGTGACTAAGGGATGCAACTCTGCACAGCGAACTGCAGTGCCTCAAACAACTGGGCCTGTGGCCCCTCCTTAAAAGAAAATGTTAGAAGAAAAGGTGAAGACAACTGAACTAGATAGACACATCTGATAATTCATGAAACAATTTTGTCATGGTAAACTGATTTCTCGAATCAGTGGATAAACCATGCATAAAGATATCAGATCTCACCTAAAGAGAGGGGAATGAATAATGCATACAGCCATCGGATATCGGATCTCACCGAAACAGTGTGTGGTAAACCAGGCATACGGATATCGGATCTCACCTAAACAGTGTGTGGTAAATCAAGCATACGGATATCGGATCTCACCTAAACAGTGTGTGGTAAACCAGGCATACAGATATCAGATCTCACCTAAACAGTGTGTGGTAAACCAGGCATACAGATATCAGATCTCACCTAAACAGTGTGTGGTAAACCAGGCATACGGATATCGGATCTCACCTAAACAGTGTGTGGTAAACCAAGCATACGGATATCGGATCTCACCCAAACAGTGTGTGGTAAACCAAGCATACGGATATCGGATCTCACCTAAACAGTGTGTGGTAAACCAAGCATACGGATATAAGATCTCACCTAAACAGTGTGTGGTAAACCAAGCATACGGATATCAGATCTCACCTAAACAGTGTGTGGTAAACCAGGCATACAGATATCAGATCTCACCTAAACAGTGTGTGGTAAACCAGGCATACAGATATCGGATCTCACCTGAACAGGGCCTTTCCTGCTTCAGTCATCTGCCAGTCTAAAGCAAAATCAATCTGACGTACAAATGGTGTCATCCTCTTCACCGTTGTGTGAGCAGCATTCAGAACAACAAACGGCTCGGCCCTCATGATTCTAGAAACAGCAGACTCCATGATGTTATTACAGCATAGCAACAATAAGCTTCTCTTTGTGGGATGCATATTTTCCTCACTGGTTTCAAATTGATTAAAAAGAGTTTGATATATATATTTCAATATATAGAAACAGTTTAAAACACATTTTTATTCATGAATAAAATATGAGGCTAAAAAAATGGTCTTGGTTCCCAGGCACAGCCGCTTCTTTCACTTATATTTTTACATTTAAATAATAAATAAATATCCTTAAACATTCTGCTTCTCGAACACACGACCCTGGCAGTGAATTTGACTTATATTTCCATTTAAAAAATAATATCCTAAAATATTCTGCTTCTCGAACACACGACCCTGGCAGTGAATTTGACTTATATTTCCATTTAAAAAATAAAAAAAAATATCCTTCAATATTCTGCTTCTCGAAAACACGACCCTGGCAGTGAATTGCTGCAGTACCATAAACAATGGGACCTAATATAGGGAGCAGTTACTTCCCTTTACAGAGCAGTTACTTCCCTTTACATGCGCACTGCCAAGCTCCTTCCCAGCGCGTGACACCTTCGTTACACTCTCAGTAACATCGCTGCCACCAGTGTGGGCGCTGCCATTACAAGAATCTTGATTTTTGCCCTCTAACCCCAAACGTTAATACTTTTGTTTATGTCTTTGGGAATGCCATGATATTTCATTTTTAAAAGGTTTACGACTGACCATGTTTTCCAGATGAATATACTTTGTTGTTTTAATAATCAGATTGGTTAGAGGTTGCAGACTAACGGAAAATCAACCAACTTCTCCCTTACATTCTTACAATATCAATAACATGATAGTTTTAATGAAATAGAAATTCAATTTGACAAACAAAGATAATAATTTATCAGCGGCAAGTGTATTCGGCGTCACGACAGTCGTCACTTCGGTTGCGAGTTCAACTCCAAGCATGGTTGTTGCCACCTATTCACAGTGGGGTGTTTTGACTGGTGGCAGCGATAGTATAGAGAGCTCCGCGAACGGGCTATTGCTGTGAGGAGCTTGGCGCACTGCTTTACCGCACATCCATTTTATGGTCATGGCGGCAATAGGAGTTTGTAGGCTTGTTCTGCCTTTTGCAAATTGGGTCAACAAAACATCAGTAGATGTGATGATAAACAAATTCAAAGATATTTGTGTACTCTATGCCAGACAATGTTTCATACACAGAGATTAAGAATACATGTGTTTTGTCTCGTAAAATAAGCCTGAAATAGGAATACGCTGTTCACATATTTTCCCCCCTGTCTGGGGTGATAAGTCTTAAAAATACTCAATATCATGGCCAATATCCTAACTTAAAATAAATTTCAATACACTGATAGGAAGACCGAAGACTTTGTATCTCTTACGACAAATGTTCATTTCAAAGCAAGTTCATGGTGATGTGATTTGCCGATTTGTTCATAAACAATTTCACTGAAAGTAACGTGAACAAAATTGAATGAAATCTTGGAGAAAAGTAATGGATTAATAACATAAGTCTAGATACTCAATGAACACTTTCATGGCCAGATAGTGTATTAACAGGACTAACTTGTGTACTTAAGTACAGATTTGTTGACACACTACTTCCAGTGTTATGTGCTCACGGTAACATCATCATGTTGTGAAATAAAGTTATAGCTCATTGTATGCTTTTTTTATGCACGCACTGGTAGTCAAATTCCAGTGAACCCTATTATTTTCGTTCTATTAAATCTGTCTGATATCGAAAGTAATATATGCATTTTGTGGTATTGTAAGATGTTTTCATGATCACAACTTTTATAATCATTGTATAATAGTGAGATTTTAAAATTGTGACAAGAAAATTAATACCAATTCACTGGATATGAAATATTTTAAGGCAAAGGTGACCATGGAATCAAATATTTAACTGCTATTAAGCACATAGAGATGGTAAACTTGGAAGATCTTTGGTGTGTGCTCTTGATAGCATACATTGGATGACATGAAGACTTAATGAAGTTGAGTTCTGTGCGTTACAAAACATGGAGAACAAAAGCTTGGTCTTCCTGACCACCACCAGCTGCTTCAACTTGGACAGAGAGACAAATTTACCATTATTTTACTCATCATGGAACACATTTAAGTAGTGATGCCCAACCGTTTTTTTGGTAACAAACTACTTTAAACAACAATAAACAAAAAAACACTATATTTTCAGAAGCCATTATCTGAGAACCAATTATTTTATTTTATTTGAGGCTAAGTGTTGCAAGTTTCCCTACTATGACTGGTGGGTTCACTCACATGTAGAAGTCCTCCTTGGAGATAGACACCACCCTAGAGTCTGTCTTGGCCTTGATGGAGAAGAGTGACGGCTCCCCTGTCAACACAGCCAGTGTCCCCACAATCTCCCCGGGATCGGCTGTGAACAGGATGGCCTGGAGACAACAGCAACAGCATACAGGCACCACAGGAGTGAGTGATCATTTATAGGATTTGGTTTGTTGTTTAACACCGCACTCAGCAATATTACAGCTATATGGCGACGGTCTGTAAATAATTGAGTCTGGACCAGACAATCCAGTGATTAATATCATGAGCATCGATCCACGCAATTGGGATCAATGACATGCATCAACCAAGTCAGCGAGCCTGACCACCCGATCCCGTTAGTCGCCTCTTACGACAAGCATAGTCGCCTTTTACGGCAAGCATCATTTATAGGACTGCGACCTGGTTAGTCTAGTTCAGCTAGGTGTTCATGTCAACATGTATCTGGTGCAAGTGACACCAAGTTCCTCAAATCAAGCCCTGAGTACGACTTTAGATACCCTCGATATCCTCTCTATCACTGATGTACTAACAAAAACGAAGCATTCACTCCCTTCCTGACTTACCTCCCTTGCCTCCTCACCGACTATCTGCTGCAGCATGTGCAGGGTCCCCATCACCACAAACACCAGGCTGGCATCCTGGAACAACAACTATGTGTCAGTATCGGCCAAAGGTGTACCTTTGTATTACTTCATAAATTAATTCTATTTTATGGACAAAAATTTGGTGTCGTACCGTGTAAACACAAAATGGCAACATGTGCTGGAGTTATACACGCGACCAATCATCAAAGAAAAAACAACGCAAGATCAACATATTTTTATTGCAAATACAATGTATAAGGTTTGTGTGCGCACTTGTGATGTGCTTCCTTCAAGGTCGCTTTATACACAGAGTATATTTTTTTTTGGTCAATTTTGAAGGCGTGTACAGGGGGGTGGTCTTATACGTGGGGTCGCTTTATACACAGCGATGTACAGTAGTTAACAATAACCACTGTTCAGCAAAAAGTCAAGTCGTCTGTGTGTATAACCTTTTTGTTAAACATCTGGGATTTAAAAGTCCCCAGGTGCACCCCTACAGTAGCAGAGCTCACGGACACCAGGACCCTCTTCAGTTTCCTACTCACAATAAATCATTCACTTTACATATGTCAATCACAGGTTATGAATTTCTTCTTGTCATGCCAATGCATAACCATTCCACACAAAGAGGTTTTGGACCCCTACCAACAATGTGCTGTGACTTCATTGTGGTTTCATCTGGTTGGTGTCTGCATAATGATGTAGATTTGTAGAATTTTCCTATTCGGAATATTCTATAAGTAATACGTTACCACTGTTATACCGAGGCTGTTGTCTCCCACAACTGCTGCTATAGCGAAATCTACCACAGAGATCTCAATTACCTCATGCAGCACGTGCGTAGCCACCTAGCTGCCATGTGACACCCATCACTCTTGTCTCTTGCGAGAGCAAGTGCTCGGGGGACGGACGGGCGGGCAGCAGCCCAGTGGTAACGTATTACTTATAGAATATTCCGAATAGGAAAATTTTACAAATTACATTAAGTAATACGTTACCACTGTTATACCGAGGCTGACTACCACAGTAGGCGGCGGGGAGCACCTACAACCCGAATCCTGACTGCTAGCGTTTCTTCCGACCAGCGGAAGTAAACACCAAGGCGGAAGCACTCGATGCGCATGCACCTAGCTAGGCGTTACCCTATAGGAATACCAAAGCACTGTCAAGCGCATACCGTAAGGCTCAATCGTCATTGCCAAAACGATTGGTGACTCCAAACGGCCCCACTGGATAGGTATTTCATCACCGCAGCGGATGAGAACACTGTATCCGCGTGAGCTTAATCTTAGATCAGGTTAAACAGTCGAAAAGAGGGAAATTAATTTCATTCAGACCGTATATCCCAGAGCAAGCCTACTTAAAGTATGCATTAGGCGCGTGACCTAATTCCAGTATTTGTAAGCATGCATCACAAGGTTGGGATACACGACAGACAATTAAATACATAATTGTCAAAATACAAATAAGGACAAAGCACACAAAAAGCCGCCCTCACCTGTGGTGTGAGTGCGCTGGTTTGCGGGACCCCAACTCCTGTACCCACGGCAGTGGGAACATTGGAGTCGACCCAGATTGACCACCGTGCAAGGTCCGACGCCTGAGGAGTTCGGAATTGCGCTGGGCACACCCCTTAGGTGCCCGCTTGCGCCGCGATCCGCGGGCAAAGACGGTGCACACTCTCCACGACGGCATCAGCGACCTGTTTGAGGTAATGATTGGCAAAAACCGAGTCAGAACGCCAGTAACAACCTCGTAATATTCTGCGAACAGAGATATTCGAGTGTAGGGCAAATGTTGCCGCTAGCGCCCTGATCTCGTGCGGGTTTGACCCCGCTACCGGTAACCCCCGAGACCGGTACGCCAGATTGATGACAGAACGAAGCCACAACGCAATCGAGTTGCAAGTTATGTCAACCGTGCGATTAGGGTTACATGATATGAACAGACGGTCACGCCCTTGTCTACGTTCATTCGCAGCCTTAAGATAATACTTAAGGGCCCTAACCGGACACAGCGCTCTGTCCTCAGTATCAGCAGGATGTAAGATTTCTTTGAGGGATCTTACAGTGAATTCTCTCTCCGTTTGCCCGACTCTCTGATTCTTGGCGACGAAGCCCATGAGCAGGCCCAGGCGGACCGCTCCTTCGTCACCCCTATCGAATCGTACCTTGGCGACATCGAGTGCATGAATTTCGGATACACGTGCCGCCGTGGCAAAGGAGAGGAGAAATGCTGTTTTCCAAGTCACATGCCGGAACGAAGCACTATGCAAGGGTTCATACGGAGCTTCCGTAAGTGATTGCAACACTAGGGAAAGATCCCAGGCCGGTGCCCGAAGGCGGCCCTTTTTAAGATCGTGCTGTTTGAAACCCTTGATAATACCCCGTATCACCGGCTCTTTGGAGAGACTGGTACACATAGCAACGTCCCGTACCGTAGCAACGGACGAGACATAGTTGGCAATGGAACCCCCGGAGAGTTTCCGGGTCTCTCGCAAGTGAGACATGAAACGAGCAATATCCTGCACAGATACCTTATCTGGCGAATGAATGTGATGTTTACAACACCACTTCGTGAAAATAACCCAACGTGCATTATACACCTTCTGGGTAGAATCACGATGCATACAAACGTATGCCAGAGACGCCCGGCGAGAAAAACCTTTACTCCTCAGACGCTCGGTGACAACATCCACGCGTGCAGATTGAACTGCCCTGCGTTTGGATGAAGCTGACGGGTGTGAGGGTGGATCAAGAGATCCGGTCTCACAGGCAGTGGAAGTGGCGACTGCGTGACCTGGGTCAGCAAGTCGGGGTACCACGATCTGTTCGGCCACATGGGCGCGATCAGTAACATTCGACAGCGAACTCCTCGGAGCCGGCTTAGAATGTGTGGTATCAACGCTGTCGGCGGGTAAGCATAAGCGTCCAAGCCCGTCCAGTCTAACGCGAGAGCATCGTGATCGATGGCCCTCGGGTCCGGGACTGGTGATACAAACAACGGGAGTTGATTGTTGAACCGCGTTGCGAACAGGTCGACCATCGGACGACCCAAACGTTCGCTCAGCCACTGAAACACTACTGGGTTCAGCATCCACTCTGTGGGGCTCGGATCCTGAGGCCTCGATAGAGCGTCGGCCGGTACGTTCCGCACACCTGGGATGTGACGGGCGCGTATCTGGCACGGGACACTGTCCACCAGAGCGTAAAACTCGAACGTGAGATCGAGTAGCGAGTGACTGTGGGTTCCTCCAGTTTGTTCACATAGGACACTACCACCGTGTTGTCGGTCGCCAGCATGAGCCGGGCGTCGACGAGACGATGCTTCCAGTGATTAACTGCGTTGATCACTGCCTTGAACTCGAGACAATTGATGTGAAGACCTAGTTCGTCTACGCACCACAGCCCCGAGCTCACCTCCCCCTCTAGATGGGCGCCCCAGCCCACTAGAGAGGCGTCTGTATACAGGTTCAACGTGGCCCGGTAGGGCCGCATAGAGACTCCTGATAAGACATTGTAAGGGACTGTCCACCACTCCAGATGCGGTCGGAGCCGATGCGGGAGGGCGACGGTCTCACTGTTCACCTCCGTTGCTAACAACTGGATTAAAAACCGTTGCAGCGGGCGGAGTTGGAGACGACCCCGTTCGGTGCAGTCCTGGGCTGATACAAGTAGCCCTAACAGCTGTTCCCAAAAGTGAACAGTCTGTTGCACCGCTAAGACTTTGGCAATCATCGCCTGAATCTTGTGCCACCGGTCTGGGGGGACAAAGAGGCGATGGGACACCGTGTTGAACCGACCTCCGATGAACAGCAAGTTCTGAGAAGGGGTTAACTCGCTCTTGGGGAGATTGATAATCCACCCCAATTGCTCCAAGAGCCGACGTGCGAAAACGAGATGGCGTGACAGGGTGTCCGTCATTCGATTTGCTACTAGCGAGTCGTCCAGTTACGTGAAGTACCGGACACCCCTCCTGTGGAGGAACCCCACTATGGGGGTGGTTAACCGGGTGAACAGCCAGGGAGCGGACGTGTGAATCATTCTGAGTTCGGCACTGTCCTACTTGGGAACGAGAAATATCCTGGAGTAAAACCCCGGTGTTATTTCTGGTAGAGCTAACTCCCGTACTGCCCCTTCTCCACCAACCTGCCGATGGCATCGGCGAGGATGGGAAGATCGGTTTCCAAATCGAAACCTGCCAACGGGGCAACGGTGAGCGGCGGATTCGCTTTGAGATCAAGCCGATAGCCGTACCGAATCGTGTTGACCACCCACGGGTCGTCGAACACTTGTTCCCAATTCTCCCAGTAAGTCTGGAGTCTGGCTCCCACTGGGGAAGGAGAGGGGGCCCTGACAGGCTGCGGTAGGCGCAACTGTCCAGGGCCAAGTGACTCGGGTTCGCCTAAGGGCCAACCGAAGTTGGCGCTGTCGGCATACGAACCCCTCCAATGAGAGTCACCTGGAGGGGCCCTTGCCGTCCGTCGACGACTTGGGCTTCCCCCAGTTCCCCGTCTTCCCGCGAAAGGGGAGCTGAATTCCCATACCGGAGCCCTCAGGGCGGGGCTACTTCCCAGAGGAAGAAGAACCCGACCCCTTAGACCTACCGGCCGCAGCAGCCTGGGGCGCGCTCCGGTTAGGAGCGGCACCCAGGCGCCTATGCAGGGACCCAACAAGAGCAAGTGTGTGCCGAGAGTCCTCGGCAACGTACTCCAGGGAAACATTTAAACTGAGCAGGCAGTTGTAAATGCGCTGGTCACGGTCCGTGGGAGAATCTTCGACCAGACGGGCCGCTGCAGCCAAGTAAGTGTCTCCGTGAGACAGGGAGTGCCGAGCGAGGGCGTCCAGCTGGTGCAAGGTAGCTTGCGTTACCGTAGCAGCCGGTGGGGCACGGACACCCAACCGCTCAACATGGGCCTCCGCGGTAGGACCTGCCTCGGGAAAGGCAAGGTCATGTACCGGGAATAAACCCTTTCTCCACGACGTCGGAGGCAACGGGAGACCCCGACCGGAGGCCGCCACGAAGGCGTTCTCCAAGGAAGGCTTGATACAGCGCAGCAAGGTTGATGCGGGGAAAGCCGTGTCGGAAGACTCATCGTATACCTCGGAGGAACCCACAGTCGTGGATTCCCCGCGGTACCGGCCGGGGCATGTCCTCAAAGAGGTCATAAACCATGGCCACGAGGTCCTTAACCGATAGCGGGAGCAACGGTTCGGGGGAAGGACCGGTGACCACGGGAGCCGCCGCCGTACCGGTGGACCCCGCGGCCACCGAAGTGGCCGGGGACGGAACAGCCAGCGGCCTATCCTGAGATAAGGCCGCCAGCTTGGAGTCCACAAGTTATGCAAGTAATGCAGCGACGGAAACCCCGGACAGCCCACGGGCCGCCAAGGGATCCGCCGCAGCTGTGGTGGTGGTACCCGCAAGGGGACCCCAACCGGACGAGCCGGCCACCACAGGGGTGGAAACGGACTGCACATACAGCCGGTAGCGCTCGCTTGCGGCACACCCCGCAGCTCCTGGTTGCGGGGGTAGAGGGGGTGGAGGACGGCGAAACATCCATGTCAGACATTTTGTTTGTACTATGAACAAAGAGCAAAACATGGTTACAACACACGCACCACAAATAGTCACAAACGTGTATTTTCACAAGAAAATAAACGAGCAATGGGAATATAGAACATACACATATAACATATAGAGGAATAAGTGATGTAAAAAACCCAAGATATACTAGAACAGGGGAACGTAAGACGCAACGTGCATACGAGACACCCCGCAAGTATATAGAAAAAAAAGGGCGGGAAAAATATTTCCTTTTTGCGGGAAAAATATTTCCAAGCGTAGTAACAGCAAACGCCCCATAAAAGCACAGTTTATTAGAGAGAATAAACAGTAATAAATATCACCGATTGGTCGGAGAAACAGGAACGCTTGAGCAGTTTATTGTACGTCTTGCTAGAGCAAGCGAAGAGACAAGAGTGAAGGGTGTCACATGGCAGCTAGGTGGCTACGCACGTGCTGCATGAGGTAATTGAGATCTCTGTGGTAGATTTCGCTATAGCAGCAGTTGTGGGAGACAACAGCCTCGGTATAACAGTGGTAACGTATTACTTAATGTAATATGATACTGCTTCTTACACTATTTCTGTCAATACCTACACAGCACAGTCCCTGCCTTGACATACCTGGTCTCCTTGCCTACACAGCAGTCTCTGCCGTGACATACCTGATCTCCTTGCCTACACAGCAGTCCCTGTCATGACATACCTGGTCTCCTTGCCTACACAGCACAGTCCCTGTCTTGACATACCTGGTCTCCTTGCCTACACAGCAAAGTCCCTGTCATGACATACCTGGTCTCCTTGCCTACACAGCACAGTCCCTGCCGTGACATACCTAGTCTCCTTGCCTACACAGCAAAGTCCCTGTCATGACATACCTGGTCTCCTTGCCTACACAGCACAGTCCCTGCCTTGACATACCTGGTCTCCTTGCCTACACAGCAGTCTCTGCCGTGACATACCTGATCTCCTTGCCTACACAGCAGTCCCTGTCATGACATACCTGGTCTCCTTGCCTACACAGCACAGTCCCTGCCTTGACATACCTGGTCTCCTTGCCTACACAGCAAAGTCCCTGTCATGACATACCTGATCTCCTTGCCTACACAACAGTCCCTGCCTTGACATACCTGGTCTCCTTGCCTACACAGCAGTCTCTGCCGTGACATACCTGGTCTCCTTGCCTACACAGCACAGTCCCTGCCTTGACATACCTGATCTCCTTGCCTACACAACAGTCCCTGCCATGACATACCTGATCTCCTTGCCTACACAGCAGTCCCTGTCATGACATACCTGGTCTCCTTGCCTACACAGCAGTCCCTGCCTTGACATACCTGATCTCCTTGCCTACACAGCAGTCCCTGCCTTGACATACCTGATCTCCTTGCCTACACAGCAGCCCCTGCCTTGACATACCTGATCTCCTTGCCTACACAGCACAGTCCCTGCCTTGACATACCTGATCTCCTTGCCTACACAGCAGTCCCTGCCTTGACATACCTGATCTCCTTGCCTACACAGCAGTCCCTGCCTTGACATACCTGATCTCCTTGCCTACACAGCAGTCCCTGCCTTGACATACCTGGTCTCCTTGCCTACACAGCAGTCCCTGCCTTGACATACCTGATCTCCTTGCCTACACAGCAGTCCCTGCCTTGACATACCTGATCTCCTTGCCTACACAGCAGTCCCTGCCTTGACATACCTGGTCTCCTTGCCTACACAGCAGTCCCTGCCTTGACATACCTGATCTCCTTGCCTACACAGCAGTCTCTGCTGTGACAAACCTGGTCTCCTTGCCTACACAGCAGTCCCTGCCTTGACATACCTGGTCTCCTTGCCTACACAGCAGCCCCTGCCTTGACATACCTGGTCTCCTTGCCTACACAGCACAGCCCCTGCCTTGACATACCTGGTCTCCTTGCCTACACAGCACAGTCCCTGCCTTGACATACCTGATCTCCTTGCCTACACAGCAGTCCCTGCCTTGACATACCTGATCTCCTTGCCTACACAGCACAGTCTCTTCCGTGACATACCTGGTCTCCTTGCCTACACAGCAAAGTCCCTGTCGTGACATACCTGATCTCTTTGCCTACACAACAGTCCCTGCCTTGACATACCTGATCTCATTGTCTACGCAGCAGCCCCTGCCTTGATATACCTGATCTCCTTGCCTACACAGCAGCCCCTGCCTTGACATACCTGATCTCCTTGCCTACACAGCACAGTCCCTGCCTTGACAGACTGTAGGTTCAGGTGACCCTCCAAAAGGCTTCGATCCTGCAACATAGAGACATGGTTGTACTGCTATATCTTCAAACACTAAGCTGACCGGTGGAGAAGACCATGCGGCAGTCCTTCTAGTAGATTGATAATATATATTTAAAAACAGTTACGGAGCAGACATATTCCATGTTCAGTATCATAAATGCTATGAAGTTATGACAATCAACATGCGATAGAGACCACTTGATTTCCGTTTGTCATCCAGAAGTATCCAAATAGAATAACACCTAGCTGATTTACCACAAAGATATGGGAACAGAATTGCAGCTATTTGGAATGCCTATGAACTGGCTATGGGATGATTTTTTAAGTCACATGCATGCTTCACAACTGCTCAAACATACAGTTGTTGTACATTTTCTATCATGGTAAAGAGGATAAACATGATCAGTTTATTATTTTGGGGTCTGTTCTCACATGACCACACAGGCCTCAAGTCAGTCAGCACAACAGATAAGGAGGGAATTCCCCCACATTCCCATGGGTGTATGGGGGTAACCTGACACCAACTCACAGTGAGACCGAGGAGATTGAGGAGGTCCTTCTGTGCCAGCTCCAGGATGTACTCATCTGAGTAGCTGTCCGACATGAGCCCCAGAGTGTCCCCGTGACCACTGGATCTCTTGGGCCTATGTCGAAAGCTGGGCGTCGCCGGACCATCCACATCAGACTCCTTGAACAGCTGGGGGTAAAACATTAAAACGTTCTTAATTTAACGGCATTTACAGATTTTCTACTACATGAGTGAGCAATTTATATCTAACATTAGCACTTCAATCTGTAAATAATCAACCATGCAGATGAAAATGTGACCAATAAGTGTGCATAACGTAGCAATCCGTGAAATCAATGCATGATGACACATGGGGTTCATCTAGGATCTCAAGGAAAGTGCCTATCCGGGAAAATTTGGAAAAAAAGCATAATTTTTCTTCTCATAAACTGGGATGTTACATTCATAAGCATTTTAATCCATAATGTCAAACCATGTCACATTTACAGTCCTAAAACATGTTATGTTAAACTAGTGTTCTTAACTTACTTGCAGAATGGAAGAGGTCCTGTCACCGTCATTGTCTCAGGATTGAATAAGCAAAGTGCTTCATAAAACAGTGTTTCATAAAACCATGTTTTATAATAACCTAAAAGATGACCTTGACCTATGACAGACATGACACCAGCATGTCATGCTATGGAACTATAAAATGTCATGCCTGCAGTGGCAACCATGTCTCAAAAACTTACAACGATACAACAATCGTTTACAAACACCTGAATATTGACCTTCACCTTTGACTTATTTTGATGAAAATTTTTCCAGAGCAGGGTCCCATCCTGGACAAGGTGCATACCAAGTCTAATGAAAAAGGTTTTAATACTTTTTAAGAAAATGTAATCACAAAGAATATTGTCAGTATTTTCTTTCTCACGATCTTGACTTTTGGATGAAAACGAATTCCCCAGGGCCATTGAGGCCATGGAAGAGTTATCTCTAATTTCAATAATCTGGGTGTTGCAGACATTCGAAAAATCACAGGCGATGGTTAAATTTTAACAAAACCTTAAAGCAGTCCATTTCTCCCAGTGCAGCTAATTATATCATCCCCTCCATTGGGATATCTTTAAATTCCAGTTTGAGATGTCCTACCAACATATGTTGCAGACTCTGAGAACTCTGAGAACGCCCAGACAAAACCCTGGACACACATTTAGCCAAGATATAATACCCAATACCTACTGTAGTTTGGTTCTTATGACAATCTTGGGGTACCAGGCATCGGTTATAGCCTACAAAACCCTACATGAGCAACAAAGTGATTCAGAAAACATCAGCTTTTTTACAATGGATCTTGTGGGCAAGACTCTGACTAAAAGTCAAAACTAAAGTGGGTCCATTGACTCTTGGGACCATCATACCTTTAACTTTTAATTTTAGGGTTAAGACTATGAACCCTTGACGTTCAATTTTTAATTTTGAAAACTGCAAAGTTTTATTAGTTTTTTATTAGACTGTATTATTTCTTCATTGCTTGTGGACCGACTCTGTGGTCTTTTTGAGAGAGTGTGCCTCTTGGTTTCCTCCCCGTCTATGTCATACCATATAACAGATGGTACTTGTTGTTACCCTGCCTGGCACTCAGCATTGAGTGGATAAAACAAGGGCTAGTCGGCTCAGAGTGAAGTACTCAAGTTAAAACTGCGGTATGGTATCTCTGTGGACTAGCACCCATAAAATCGGTGTAGGACTAGTACAAGCCGACATTGGCACACACACACAACACTCTTTGGACTGGTGACTACAGACTCAGAATTCATGGCAGGGTATCTGACCTGTCTGCTTGGTGGGGAGCCTGTGATGGCGCTACTGTAACAGTCTTGCTTCGGAACCCGGGCTCGCATACAAGCAGTGTCAAAGTCAGATGGGTGGCGATCTTTGTCCGAGGTGCTACTCAGCAGCTTGGTACGACCTGGAACACACGACAGTAGACAGGTGACACCAGATAGATCCCTGGTGCATGTACACCGCCAAGATTCTCACACCAACGGCAGGCAGTGTTGGGATTGACTAACAGGATACACTGGAGGTGACACGTATCCAGTGAGGGAGTCAGTTGGGTTGGAATGATGCTATCCACAGTATTTTAGTTATATCATAGCATGTCAACTTCATGTGGGAGGACAGCCGAAAGGGATGCAGGTCCGAGACTACTTTAATGATGCATGGGAGTTTTGGAAGAAACATAATATTTGATCAGTAACAACTTCAAATCATACAACCTCCTCCTTTTCAACAATAATTTTTTCTAGCACATTAAGCAAGTTTAGCGAACAAATATCTTTTCTGGGTCAAATTATTTGTTCAAAAACATTCCCGTCAAAACCTCCTCCCACACCTTCCAAATATGTAAAAGTTGGTCCTTAAGGCACGCTAACTCTGCACAGCAACTTGCCATACCATAGACAACTGGGTGACACATGCCGAGTACCATCAAACAGACCGCCTCCGTGGTCTTGTGGTAGAGCGTCCGCCCGGAGAGCGGAAGGTCCAGGGTTCGATCCCGGGCCGCGTCATACAAAAAGACGTTAAAAGATTGTACTTGTTGTTACCCTGTCTGGCGCTCGGCATTAAGGGGCTAAAACAAGGACTGGTCGGCTCGGAGTCAGTATACTGTGTCTGAGTGGGGTATTCATGTTAAACTGCGGCATGGTATCTCAGTGAGCTAGCACTATAAATCGGCATCAGTCCGGACTAGTACAAGCAGCCACACACACACATACACGTGCATGCACGTCGCTATATAAGTGCAATAATCTTGGACGCGACGTTAAACTCAATTTCACCTCACCATCAAACAAGATTCAGTGGCAACCCATTGGGAGGGATTTGTGTCTCACATGGATCTCCTGCTCTATAGTACAGTCTACAGTATGCTGGCATATAGGCAAAACATAAGAAATTCCACGTATGATGTATGGGTAACATCTTTTTTCATAATCTCCCTGTACTATGTGAACTGGTATCATGTTTTAAAGATTGAACTTTGTTTTCAGGCTGCTTTCAGCAATATTCCAACAATATCACTGCAAGGGACACCAGAACTGAGGGACACACATTGGGTCCATGTGAGAAATGGAACTAAGGTCTTCAACATGCGGAGCTGAGGCTTCACCAACTGGGCTATCTCATCCCCCCTTAGTACCAATAGAGCACATTATGTTGTAACTAAAGTACGCCAGAGAATTAGGACAATGGCTTCAGGTATTCATGCACATACCATGAGAAGAACATTTTACAATTGATGTTCATGCCATGACAGCTTAACTTAGTGTGCAAATAAATTCAACGCATGTCAGAATCAAATGTTGAGATGTGTTTGTGAGCAATGCTTAACATATTTGGTAGACAAGGCTGGGTTGGTTGGTTGGTTTGTTGTTTTACGCCGTACTCAGCAATGTTCCAGCTTTATGACGTCGGTCTGTAGATAATCGAGTCTGGACCAGACAATCCAGTGATTGATATCATGAGCATCAATCCCCACAAATGGGATCGATGACATGCATCATCCAAGTCAGTGAGCCTGACCACCCGATCCCGTTAGCTGCCTCTTACGACAAGCATAGTCACCTTTTACGGCAAGCATGGTCGCCTTTTACGACAAGCATAGTCGCCTTTAACGACAAGCAGTCGCCTTTTACGACAAGCATAGTCGCCTTTTACAACAAGCATAGTCGCCTTTTACGGCAAGCATAGTCGCCTTTTACGGCAAGCAGTCACCTTTTACGACAAGCATAGTCGCCTTTTACGACAAGCATGAGACAAAGCTGGGAACCCATGACAGCATATCATTTTACTGTATCTAAAACTAAGTGTTCCCTTATTTATTTCCATCAGTATATTAAAAAAATGAGCTGGAGCATGATATTAAACTCACATTTGAGTGAGTGAGTGAGTTGCTGCAGAATACATACCTGTAACTTGTTCTGAGGTAGACCTGATGTAGCCAGGCCTTTTTGAGTCAGCATCCTCGGTCTTCTCCTCCGGCTCCACACCGGAAGTGCCCATGGAGCTGCTGTGGGCGTACTTGTGGACCTTGTGGGGGCTGCCATGGTGGGCGATGGTTTGAATGGACAGGGTACGAAGGTCTATACGACTTTCCTGCAAGGAAATGTTATCATATTTTTAAGATCCTCCAAATTCTCTTAACAGAATATCACTCAATACAAACATAAGTTGTTTCCACGTGACACAAGCACAATATAAAAATATACTTCAAGACCCTCAGAATATATGGAATCACATCAGTTATGAAGAAATAATGGAGGACATGTCTGAAGGAGTATTGGAATTATGTGTGCAAGTTTAAGAGACGACATATGTTAGTTAATACAGTTTCAGCTCCATAGGCCTTGTAGGTTCACTAAAAAAAGAGTAACACTAGAAAAACAGGAATGTGAAGGTCAAAGGGTCATAGCTTGACAGACTGAGAGACAAAAAAACATCTTCCCGAGGCAAGGGAGTTAACTGACTATAAAAGTCCTGTTTCCACCCTTGCCGAAGTAGACTGGAATTTCAGAGTTACATTTTGACTGCACTAATGACTCTATGCATAGTCCAATCAAAATCTCATAACAAAAGTGATATCCATTTCGTAAACAACATATTGACTGCTGCACATATTTTGGTCAACTGCAGGATTTGCGAAGCATGTGTACCTTCAACTGTGCATCAGCAGATATTTTCTAAATCTTTTCATGTTTTTAATCAAGGTGTTCAAGTTATCTGATGCACTTCATGAGGTAAGACCTGTTTTATTACAATATCAATCTTGATTATCAGTCAGATCTTCTTGACTGTCTGGTGGTCTGTCTGTCTGATGGACTGTCTGGTGGTCTGTCTGTCTGATTAACTGTCTGGTGGCCTGTTTGGTTGACTGTCTGATGGACTGTCTGTCTGATGGACTGTCTGGTGGCCTGTTTGGTTGACTGTCTGATGGTCTGTCTGATGGACTGTCTCTCTGATGGACTGTCTCTCTGATGGTCTGTCTGATGGACTGTCTCTCTGATGGACTGTCTGTCTGATGGTCTGTCTGATGGACTGTCTGTCTGATGGTCTGTCTGTCTGATGGTCTGTCTGATGGACTGTCTGATGGACTGTCTGTCTGATGGTCTGTCTGTCTGATGGTCTGTCTGGTGGTCTGTCTGTCTGATGGAATGTCTGGTGGTCTGTCTGTCTGGTGGTCTGTCTGTCTGGTGGAATGTCTGTCTCATGGACTGTCTGGTGGTATGTCTGGTGGCCTGTCTGATGGACTGTCTGTATGATGGTGTGTCTGGTGGCCTGTCTGTCTCATGGACTGTCTGGTGGTCTGTCTGGTGGCCTGTCTGTCTGATGGACTGTCTGTCTGATGGAATGTCTGGTGGTCTGTCTGGTGGTCTGTCTTGTGGAATGTCTGGTGGTCTGTCTGTCTAGTGGACTGTCTGGTGGTCTGTCTGTCTGGTGGAATGTCTGGTGGTCTGTCTCATGGACTGTCTGGTGGTCTGTCTGGTGGCCTGTCTGTCTGATGGACTGTCTGTCTGATGGAATGTCTGGTGGTCTGTCTGGTGGTCTGTCTGTCTGGTGGAATGTCTGGTGGTCTGTCTGTCTTGTGGACTGTCTGGTGGTCTGTCTGTCTGGTGGACTGTCTGGTGGTCTGTCTGTCTTGTGGAATGTCTGGTGGTCTGTCTGTCTAGTGGACTGTCTGGTGGTCTGTCTGTCTGGTGGACTGTCTGGTGGTCTGTCTGTCTGGTGGACTGTCTGTCTGGTGGAATGTCTGGTGGTCTGTCTGTCTAGTGGACTGTCTGGTGGTCTGTCTGTCTGGTGGAATGTCTATCTGTTGGACTGTCTGGTGGTCTGTCTGTCTGGTGGACTTTCTGGTGGTCTGTCTGGTGGCCTGTCTGTCTGATGGACTGTCTGTCTGATGGAATGTCTGGTGGTCTGTCTGGTGGTCTGTCTTGTGGAATGTCTGGTGGTCTGTCTGTCTAGTGGACTGTCTGGTGGTCTGTCTGTCTGGTGGAATGTCTGGTGGTCTGTCTCATGGACTGTCTGGTGGTCTGTCTGGTGGCCTGTCTGTCTGATGGACTGTCTGTCTGATGGAATGTCTGGTGGTCTGTCTGGTGGTCTGTCTGTCTGGTGGAATGTCTGGTGGTCTGTCTGTCTTGTGGACTGTCTGGTGGTCTGTCTGTCTGGTGGACTGTCTGGTGGTCTGTCTGTCTTGTGGAATGTCTGGTGGTCTGTCTGTCTAGTGGACTGTCTGGTGGTCTGTCTGTCTGGTGGACTGTCTGGTGGTCTGTCTGTCTGGTGGAATGTCTATCTGTTGGACTGTCTGGTGGTCTGTCTGTCTGGTGGACTTTCTGGTGGTCTGTCTGTCTTGTGGAATGTCTGGTGGTCTGTCTGTCTAGTGGACTGTCTGGTGGTCTGTCTGTCTGGTGGACTGTCTGGTGGTCTGTCTGTCTGGTGGAATGTCTATCTGTTGGACTGTCTGGTGGTCTGTCTGTCTGGTGGACTTTCTGGTGGTCTGTCTGTCTGGTGGACTGTCTGGTGGTCTGTCTGTCTGGTGGAATGTCTATCTGTTGGACTGTCTGGTGGTCTGTCTGTCTGGTGGACTGTCTGGTGGTCTGTCTGTCTAGTGGACTGTCTGGTGGTCTGTCTGTCTGGTGGTCTGACTGTCTAGTGGAATGTCTGGTGGTCTGTCTGTCTCATGGACTGTCTGATGGACTGTCTGGTGGTCTGTCTGTCTGATGAACTATGTGATGGACTGTATGGTGGTCTGTTTGGTGGAATATTTGGTGTTCTGTCTGTCTGTCTATCTGTTGGACTGTCTGTCTGATGGACTGTCTGTCTGTCTGATGAACTGTCTGTCTATCTGTTGGACTGTCTGTCTGATGGACTGTCTGTCTGTCTGATGAACTGTCTGTCTATCTGTTGGACTGTCTGTCTGATGGACTGTCTGGTGGTCTGTCTGGTGGCCTGTCTGTCTGTTTGATGGAATGTCTGGTGGTCTGTCTGGTGGTCTGTCTGTCTGGTGGCCTGTCTGTCTGTTTGATGGAATGTCTGGTGGTCTGTCTGGTGGTCTGTCTGTCTGGTGGTCTGTCTGGTGGTCTGTCTGTCTGGTGGTCTGTCTGTCTCATGGACTGTCTGGTGGCCTGTCTGTCTGTTTGATGGAATGTCTGGTGGTCTGTCTGGTGGTCTGTCTGTCTGGTGGTCTGTCTGTCTGGTGGTCTGTCTGTCTCATGGACTGTCTGATGGACTGTCTGTCTGATGGACCATCTGATGGACTGTATGGTGGTCTGTTTGGTGGAATATTTGGTGTTCTGTCTGTCTGTCTATCTGTTGGACTGTCTGTCTGATGGACTGTCTGTCTATCTGTTGGACTGTCTGTCTGATGGACTGTCTGTCTATCTGATGGACTGTCTGCCTGATGGGCTGTCTGTCTGTCTGATGGACTGTCAGTCTATCTGTTGGACTGTCTGTCTGATGGACTGTCTGGCGGTCTGTCTGTCCGGTGGCCTGTCTGTCTGTCTGTTGTTTTGTGGTCTGTCTAGTGTCATTGTGCTAAGCTGGTTAAACAGCTAGAACTCCTTCATCACCTCGCTATTGTGTTTGTGTTTAATGCTGTTCTAAACAGTATTTCACATTTTGACAAGCACCCATGGGTATAACACTAATGGACCAATGATCTTAATCATGAATCAGGGGTAACTCTGCAGGGTACTAACAGGGTTGATGAGTTCACTGCTGAGACCAAGGTAGTTGTGGAGAGCCATGAATGTCACTCGCTGCAGTCGGATCATCATTATCTGAGGAATAGATACATAGCATCATGTCAAAAACACTGATCATAAATAATCAAAACAATACCAACATGACAACATACATAATATAAAATAGTCATACAGATCATCATCTCTGCTATTTGCAAATTACAAACATTTTCCCAATGCCTCCATGAAATATATTTTCTGAAGCATAGTCCCTTCAAAATACACTTACTGGTGCATGATTGGGTGTGTGAGTATGGGTTAATGCAGCTCTTATCAATACCCAACCAATGTCATGGAACAGGACACTAGAAAAGGGCTTCACAGAGGTGAATGCTTGAATTCAATATATACCACCACAAACAAGTAAACGAACACCCACAACTGGAAGGAGTGAACTGAACTGGAGTTGAAATACCCTCAAACCATGACAGATTAACTACATTCAGATGAAAAAAGGGTGTTTCTGTATTTTCTTTTAGTAATGGGGTAGTATTTAAACACACAGTCACTGTGATCATGGTGAGGATTTGCAAATTTATGCATTTTTCAAAGATTCAAATTATTCGCAGAAACATTATTGCCTGATTCAAACATACTACTTTCATTACCAAACCATGAATAATTTGGTACAATCAACAACAAAAATAAACCAAATATCTCCCCTAGAATCCACTATAACAAAGAGTTTCAGGAAAGTTCTAGACTTAATGGCGCCAAAAGATATAAAAAAGTATCATCAGTAGGCTACCAATTATTCATTAGCAGTACTCAGAGGTCCTTGCTTTACCATTTAACTGATATCCTTTGTTATACACTTCCAATAAGAAAAAGAAAAAGGGGCGGTCGGGAAGCCTAGTGGTTAAGCGTTCGCTTGTCACGGTGAAGACCCGGGTTCGAATCCCGACATGGGTACAATGCGTTAAGCCCATTTCTGGTGTCCCCCACTGTGATATTGCTGGAATATTGCTAAAAGCGGCGTAAAACCAATCTCACTCACTCACTCCAATAAGAAAATCATATTTGAGTTACAGAATTTCAAGAAATGTTTGTATTCCAAATGTATATATCAAAATACCCTTGTTATGCCCCACTGCACACCCTACCTTACCCCCTACCTCACTACTTCACACCCTTGAGAGAGGGGGTGAGAGGGTAGCCAAGTAATTGAAGCATTTGCTTGTCACAACAAATGGCTTGATCTGATTCCTAGAACAGGTACAATGTGTGAAGCCCATATGTGTCCCCCTTCACTGATATTGCTTGATAGTTCTGAAGTGGTGTTAAATCATACTCTCTCCCCGCTACATCCACCTCCCAACCCACATCCTACAAAAATCCAGGATAGCATCTGGTAGATAGATCTGGTCTTCAGCAACCTGCGTTTGTCATAAGAGTCACATGCTTGAGGTGGTCAGTCTCTCCAACTTGGGTGATGCATGTCATTGTAACCAAATTGCATAGATTGATGCTCATGATATCAATCACTGGACTGTCAGGTCCAGAGTCGATCAGTTACAGACCGCCGTGATGTAGCTGGAATATTGCTGAGTGCGGCATTAACAAAACAAAACAAAACAAAACAAAACAAAACATAGGGTACCTACCTGGACCACCCTGACGATCGACTCGGGGAACTTCTTGAACATGGAGCTGAAGGCTGACGCAGGCAACCTGGGACAGAAGACGATATACACTAGAGATGGTACATCACACCATATGCCCAGAGGAATCGGTTGACAATATATTTTTCTCAGCAACATTAGTTCCCAGAGGTCCGGAATATAATTTTGTTCTCAGTTTCACCAAGTTAGCAATACTCGTAGCAGACGATGCAAATTAATGAGTTACTTCCCTTTACCCAATGCATTCGGATAAACATCGGTTAATCAACAATACTTTTTCGAGATATGATACTCTAAGTATAAGATTTTTATTAATAAGGATATTTCCCAATTATTTTCGCACGAGTCCTTGTTGTTTGTTTCCTGCCATCTGCATCATGTCAGCTGGATATAGATAAAAGTACAAGTTCTTTTTGACCAGAAAGTATAGTGAGTCATAACTGCCAAATGCACCATCTTCAGTTGTGATGTACTTTTCATATGTTGGAGGGGATATTGTAAAATTGGTTGGAAAAATGAAAACATGCTGACTGGAATGTTTCTGTAAATGACAAGAATCTCATATCCCTTCAAATATCACTCACCTTTTTTATAACTGAAATAATTTTGTACTTTTTCGACATTTGAAAATTTGATTCTGTCAGAAAGTGGGACTGAAAGAGGTGTTTTATGCCACTACAAACAGTATTTCCATTGTATGTCAGCTTAATGAGGAAGGAAAGCCAGAAACGATGCAGGGAGTAGAATCTAACCACATTAGGAAACCCACAGGCATGGCTTTCATACAAACCAAGAATCATCATCTGGCAGAATACTGAGCTTCGAATCAGGATCGTCAGACTCTGGCATGAGTTACGAAGCCAGCTCAGAACAACTTCACAAGGTAAACCTGAACAGACACAACACCACAGCTTACTTGAGGATGAGCGAGTCCACTGCTGCCTTGGCGGACACGGTCTTGTAGGGGGCTGGGTGACCCTGGAACACAGTGCCACATATAGGGAGGGTGAGAGGGAGGGTGAGGGGGAGGGGCAATTACCGGAACATGCGACATCCAATTATTCTTAAAACTCTGTTTTATTTCCCTGAGTTTTCATGACAATCTAAATCTTTTGTAGGGTGCGGAATATCTATGCCCGAAGCTGGACTCCTTGCAGAACTTTGCAGATACATCATGACAGTTACAGATTATTTACTTCTTTGCTCTGATCGCGTTTTAGCATGTTCAGGACGCTCTCTGATTGGTTGATCACGTTTTAGCATGTTCAGGACACTCTCTGATTGGTTGATCACGTTTTAGCATGTTCAGGACACTCTCTGATTGGTTGATCAGTGCATCATGTCGCCAAAGGTGCAACATATTGAGGAAGGCATTGCAGAACATGTATGGTTTACGTCTAATTGGGGCCTAGCAATGGACAAAGTCAATTTTCAAAGTTGGAAATACATTTACACCTTTTATTTTGTGATAAACACCATTGAGGGTTAATAATCTGAACAAGTAGGCTTCGTCTCCGGACAAATGATTATTTAATTGTTTAGTTCTCCAGGGACAAGTTAAAACATTTGATATTCACCCCTCCCCAACCCCCGCCCACTCTGAATTATGATAAGATTATTGTTCACAGTGAGTGTGGGACTGACCGTGAGGAAGTCCAGCATACTGAGCAGACTGTGGATGCTGTCCCCTGTCGTCACCATCTTGACCAGGTGCTGGCTCCCGTCCTGAACACACAAGCAGTGGCATAATTAGATAAACAGTCAGTGAGTGAGTGAGTTGGGCCTTACACCGCTTTGAACAGTAATCAAGTTTTTTACAGCTTAATGTGGGAGGAAGCCTGAAGTGATATGGGGGCACGGGTGGCCAAGTCGTCTAGAGCGCCGTGATTCACTGTGCAGAGTTGCTTCCCTTGGGCACACAAGAAACCTATGATTGCAGGTTTGAATCCCGGTTCACACCGATTGTGTTTCTAGGTTTGTCAGCGCCATACCCATGCCCGTGGGTTTCACCGAAGTGGTAAACGTCGGAGACCTGCATCACTTCGGGCTTTCCTCCCACATTAAGCGGACACGCCGCGATATAACTGGAATACTGTTAAAAGCGACGTTAGACACAACTCACTCACTCACTGAAGTGATACATGTCTCAGACATTTAGATAAATAAATTGCATGTGATTCCATGGCATTTGATTGGATAACCAGGCAAATAAACTGAAACTGAATCAGGCCATGCCTGCTATTGGATTGCTGTTCCCTGACTTCCGGAAAACAGATTGTGCAGGCTTTTGTTGCATTATTGTTTCATTGTCTAAAGGGTTTAGGAGTTGATGATTAAATATGCAGTCTGCGTAGTTATCATTGTTGACATATACAAGAATTAACAGATGAAGTACCACGCACCTTCTCAGTGACAAACACTTCGATCTGACCACTCTGCACCACATATATACTGTCGTCCTGGTCCCCGATCTTGAACAAGTAGTTGCCTGTCTTGATGTTCAGAGGCTCCATGTGTCGACACAGCTCCAGGAAGAAGGGCTTCTCCAGGTGACCAAATACTCTGAAACATGACCATAGGTGCTGACAACCTGTGTGCACTTTAGTTTATAGCAAGAGGGGGCAGTGGGGTAGCCTTGTGGTTTAAGTGTTTGCTCGTCACGCCAAAAACCCAGGCTCAATTCCCCACATAAGTACAATGTGTGAAGCCCTTTTCTGGTGTCCTCCGCCATGATATTGCTGGAATATTGCTACAAGCGATGCAAAACCATACTCATTCACAGTGACTCAGTCACTCACTCATGGCAAGAGTGGCATTAGAACTTGGATATATCTAAACTGTTGAAGTAACAAGTGAGGTGAAATGGGGTTTAACATTGCGTTCAAGAATATTGCGCTTATACAGTGACGTGTATGCACGTGTGTGTGTGTGTGGCTTCTAGTACTAGTTTGGACTAATGCCGGTTTAACAGAGCGTGCCTACTGAGATACCTTTCAATAGTTTAACATGGATACTCCAATGAGACACAGTATATAATACTGACTCCAAGTCCGAAAATATTTGTTTTAACCATTGATTGGAAAGTGATAGCACGCAAACCTAAAAAATATATACTAAACAAAATTCCTCAAACTCAAAAAGCCCCATTTGATGGCTAGACTCATACCTGTTCAAAGTTTGGTCAAGAAATATTGAATGGTCTCTGAGTCATACTCCGGAAACAAACTCTACCCTCCTATGAGTACAACTGGTTGTCATTAAAACCGGAACAGAATTTCACAGTACCCAACTAACACAAAGCACCAGTCCTTTGAGTATGGGCAAGAAATATTGATCAGTCTTCAAGTGACAGATGGAAGGATGTCAGTATTTGTACCTGATACTTCTCAACATATAGAGCACTTCTGATGGCAGCCTGTGGTCTGTTTCCTGAACATCTGGAGTATCAGCTTCAAAGAATGATTTGGGAGGTTCTTTTAATCGAAGCTGTGGAAGACTTGAATCTTTCCTTCTTTCTAAAAATCTGAAATGGGAGTATTCCTGATAATCAATTACTCATCCTATTATGTAATTACTGACATCATGAAATTAAATATGAGCATTTAAAACCTTCAACAAGCTCAGAACTGGAACGTCAGTTGAAGTTTTGTGGTACAGCTCAGTTTGCTTGACATCTGGCAACGACATCCCAACAAAATTCTGAAAATATTAAAACACCAAAAGGAATTGATCTTGGAATGAAAACTAAGTGCCCTGGGCAGGCAAATCGGAAAATACTTTGTTCAATAAAGGTGTTTTTTAAGTCCTTATTTTCCTGAATAACATTGCATTCAATGCCATAAACATAAACTGAGCATTTAGCCCTTTCCTCTGTATTGGTTCTGTCATCAGTGAAATACCAGTCACTTCTCCAGAGCCATAACATTGCCATAACCACAACAGCATGAACTGGAAAATGTATAATTGCAAAGTGGGAATGATTTCTGACATTGCTGCAGACTTGGGGCCGAATATCAGCCTCTGAGCGGTCTAGACAAATCACTGACCAGTGTCTAGAAGCATTTGAGGCTATAATTCTGAACCAGTTCTCAATGCTTCAATTTTGCTACAATTTGGAACTAAATAAAACTGACCCGTAAAGATCCAGGGTAGAATAGGTGTTCAGGAACCCATGCTTACGGTATAAGACGACTATGCTTGTCGTAAGAGGCGACTAACGGGATTGGGTGGTCAGAATCGCTGACTTGGTTGATGCAGGTCATCGTATCCAAATTGCGTTGACCGATGCTCATAATGTCAATCACTGGATTGTCAGGTCCTCCAGACTCGATTATTTACAGACCTCTGTCATATAGCTGGAATATTGCTGAGTGCAGTGTTATACAATAAACAAAACAAAACTGAATAAAACTGATAGAAAATGTGAACACTTTGTCTCCTTCAACATGTTCAAGCAGGACCAGCTACACACTCTGAGGTCTAGTGCAATAAGGTTTCCTCTGCTCTTCTATACTAGTCTTAAAAAAAACCGACCCGAGGCTGTAAAAATAAAAGTAAAAATCCAAGATTTCGGAGTTAAGATTCAAATACAAAAGAAAATATCATGCAGATAACGACACCTCCCTACAAAACGTGGCAGATAACAACACCTCTCTACCTGATTAGTCGGTTCACCATGTCCTTCCGATAACGACACCTCCTTACATGACTTGGCTGATAATGACACCTTCCTACCTGCGTAGTCTGTTCACCATGGCCTTCCGATAACGACAACACCCTACATAACGTGGCACATAATAATACCTCCCTACATAATGTGGCAGATAACAACACCTCCCTACATAACATGGCTGATAATGACACCTCCCTACCTGCGTAGTCAGTTCACCACGTCCTTCCGATAACGACACCTCCCTAAAAAACATGGCCAAAAAAGACAACTCCTTACATAACATGGCTGATAACAACACCTCCCTACATAACATGGCCAATAACGACACCTCCCTACCTGCGTAGTCGGTTCACCACGTCCTTCAGATAACGACACCTCCCTTCATAACATGGCTGATAACGACACATCCCTACATAAGGTGGCCGATAACAACACCTCCCTACCTGCGTAGTCGGTTCACCACGTCCTTCAGATAACGACACCTCCCTACATAACATGGCTGATAACGACACCTCCCTACATAACATGGCTGATAACGACACCTCCCTACCTGCGTAGTCGGTTCACCATGTCCTTCCGATAACGACACCTCCCTACATAACATGGCTGATAACGACACCTCACTACATAACGTAGCCGATAACGACACCTCCCTACCTGCGTAGTCGGTTCACCACGTCCTTCAGATAACGACACCTCCCTACATAACATGGCTGATAACGACACCTCCCTACATAACATGGCTGATAACGACACCTCCCTACCTGCGTAGTCTGTTCACCATGTCCTTCCGATAACGACACCTCCCTACATAACATGGCGGATAACGACACCTCCCTACATAACATGGCGGATAACGACACCTCACTACATAACGTAGCCGATAACGACACCTCCCTACCTGCGTAGTCGGTTCACCATGTCCTTCTGGCTCATCTTCTTTCTGCCATGACGACTCACAGCTATTGTGTTCTTCGTGAAACTTCGGACCTGTGAATATAAAGGATCATCACTAAGCAGTGTTCGAAATTAAGGGGTGTCCTGCAGCCCTTCTATGGTATTCAAATCTAAATCTTCAATTTTTATCAATGGCGTGATGCCAAGGACCGTTTGGTTTTCCTGCTTAATTTTGAACATGGTTCAGCATTTTGCTTTCATGAGAGTGTTGGCGGGTGCTTCATCATTGTGCAAGTTGCAACTTCAAAGAACTGATATTAATTGGTCAGTTTGCAGGTTTTAGTGTGTCTGAAATCATCATCTCATGGCCAGAGTATGCTGTTGATCTTCACAAATACTGCAGTGTGTTGAGAGTTATCATTCATCTGGTAAGAAATGATCATGTCAGTTTTTATTTGATGAGATCAACATTAGGAATGGTCATGTTAAAACGTCAGGGCTAAGTCATATCAAAGATCAGTGGCCATGTCAATGTCTTTTGTGTTTAACTGCCACAAAAGATTAACATAAGCATGATTAGTCAAGTTAATGTTTCCAAAAGGTTTTCTTATCATATGAAAGAGAGATAATTGATCAAGTCCACATTTCACTGGTTGGTTGAATCCATATACAGAGCTCCAGATTACTGTTTTGGGGGGTTTGGGGGGTGTTTGGGGGGGATGGGGGGGGTTGGAGGGGGGGATATTTTACGCAACACGCTGCTTATCTGTAGCTCTGCATATAGTTTCACGCCCCCTTATGCATTCAACATGTTCAAACAAAGAAACGGGATCAATACACACACACGATCAAAGATAAGAATGACAAGTATTCGATCAAGTCCATGTTTCAGTATTTGTTCAAAGTGTCACCAGCGTCTCCGCTTTCCCTGCCAACTTCTGCATTGTTCCTGGGAGGCCTTGATTTGATTTGTTTCCACTGTTAATTTATTACTTCACTCTGTTTATTGTTCACCATCACAAATCACGTCTAGCACAACAAATTGGTCACATCAATATCCTCATTTCTCCATTGTCATTCATGTGGATCTGATGCCCTGACAGTGACCTACGACAAATCAATATTGTGCAAGGCTTTTCATTTTCTATTGGTTTACAAACAATTTCAACGCAGGTGGTCGAAAAAACTTAAATAATATTGTTTAACCTCCATATTAGTACCGCTACTAACGAGACTAATGAATGAAAAACAAAAGGTCACACCATCACAGAAGTATGACTGCAAAACAATACTGAAGGATAACTGATTGGTTTTTTTTGTTAGAATAAAGATTTTTATACATATCACTACTTTTTTATGAACAGCGGTGATAAAGTATCATACAGTTCACCTGCCACTGGCTACCAATAATTGTAAAACAGGCAGACAAAACATTTATGGTCTTAAGTCTTTTCTTTTCTCCCTCACCAATATTCCAATGTGTTTTTGTCCGTCAGTCCAACTAAAAAATATAGAGATATCTACAGGGCCTAATACTCACCATGTCCATAGTGCAAACACTTACTTTTCGTAACATCTTTCTGCCATAAAACAGCATCTTGTCTCGTTTCCTGAAGCGATACTTTTTGTTTGCCTCGCTTTGACTTGGTAACACTGAAAGAACAAGCATCCTGTTGGTGAGTATCTGACATTGCCATCACAAAGAGTGAGTGAGTGAGTGAGTGAGTATGGTTTTACGCCGCTTTCAGCAATATTCCAGCAATATCACGGCGGGGGACACCAGGAATGGGATTCACACATTGTACCCATGTCGGGAATCGAACCCGGGTCCTCGGTGTGACGAGCCAACGCTTTAACCACTAGGCTACCCGACCGCCCCACCATCATAAAGAAGACTGGTGAAATGGAGTGGACATGGATGCACATGTGGAGGGGGATACTTGCGCTTGTCCTGACCAGGCCTCAAAGTTTAAATTTTTACCAGAGAGCCACACGGCTACTAGTATTTTTTTCCTGGTAGCCACTGGTAAAATCAAGAAGTCACGCCAATATTGTAGGTAGCCAAAAACATTTGCAATTATCTTTGATCAAATAACTATCCTAATATGAACAAGTTATAGCACTAGTCTTGGAATTGTACACTAGTGGAAACTGTACTTGATTTTTGTTACTTGTGACTTGAACATGTTGAACAATGATGCAATTTATGTTACAAGATTATATAGGTATATCCTTGCTTATCCATTCAGCATTGTCAACTAAAATAATATACTAATTAAATTAATATTTATGTATTTTGGTTTATTGTCAATTTTAGGAGGCATTATTTGCGTGTACAATTATTAACAGATGTGTTTTCCAAGATCAGCTGTTATTTATTTTTGTGGCAACATATGCATGATATGTGTAGCAATAGAATTTGGTTACCACAAGATATTTTTAAGGTAGTCATTTGGCTACCTCTGAATTTTAGACAGTGGACAAATTGAAATTTAGGCCGCATTGGCGACTGTTTTAGTCGCAACTTTGAGGCCTGCTGACAAGTGCCAGTTTTATAGTGTTTTATTTGTTTGTTGTTTAACACCACACTCAGCAATATTCCAGCAATATCAAGACAGCCTGTAAATAATCCCATCCAGTCCAAACAAACCAGAGATTGATATCATGAGCAACTTTCCCCCGCATTGATGAAAAGTCCCCCAGTCTGACCACCAGATCCATTTAGTCACCTCTTACAACAAGCATAGGTTACTGGGCACCTATTTTAACCCTAAATCCCCATGAGGGCAATAAGATTATGTGCTCTTCAAACATGTCATATAACAAACAGGTGGACAGAAAAGCACATCTCACGATCTTCTATAACATGCGTCTCCCTAACATGTCCAAGTCTCAGGGACAACACAGTTGTTTGTTACCAAGACAACAACAAAATATTATGACAACAACAATGTCTTCAAGTGAGTCACCTCAATCTTCTCTCACAACTGACCACTGACCTGTCGCAGGTACAATCTCAAATACAGCCCAAACTGTTCACCATATTCAGCAGTGTGAACGAACAGTTTTATTCCACTAGTTCTTATAATAAATTTTTACTAGTCCTTATGATACCTTTACCACTGGGCAGTTTTGCAAGGACTATATAGGACTAGTGCTAATTTCTAACGCTGCTCCCTACATAACATGGCCAATAAACGACACCTTCCTACATGCGGAGTCTGTTCACCATGTCCTTCCAATAACGACACCTCCCTACATAATGTGGCCGGTAACGACACCTCCCCACAACCTTAACTACAGGTCAGTTTGGCAAGGACAAGAGGACAAGTGTCAATTTCTAACGCTGATATTGCAGTGTTACAATGGAGGGACACCCAGTAATGCCCCATGCGCCAACACTTACCTTTTGTTCTGAACTTCCATATTCCGAAGAAGAGGACTACAAGGATGGTGATGGTGGCGACAACAAACGTGATCATGATGCTCTGAAACAGAAAACATTGGTGGGTGAGAGACTGTAACCTAACCCACCAACTCATGATTCATCCATTCCAAACTGTATGACCTTGACCAAATGGATAATGACTCATTTACTACCATGTTGCCGCAGGGCGGTTAAATGGGCATCAACATGCTGTAGCTCACCTGAATAGGTCATATGTGTTAATTGCTTGAGGTTGCACATGGCAATTTTAGTTTTATGATAGTTGCTTGTAAATAATCGAGTCGGGACCAGACAACCTTGTGAGTGAGTGAGTGAGTTGGGTTTAACGCCACTTTTAACAGTATTCCAGTTATATCACGGCGTGTCAACTTAATGTGGGAGGAAAGCCCGAAGTGATGCAGGTCTCAGACGTTTACCACTTCGGTGAAACCCACGAGCATGGGTATGGTGCTGACAAACCTAGAAACATAATCGGAGCGAACCGGGATTCGAACCCACAACCATAGGTTTCTGACTGCCCAAGGGATGCAACTCTGCACTGTGAATCGCAGCGCCTTAGAAGACTGGGCCACCCGTGCCCCCCTACAACCTTGTGATACAGAATGAGAGCAGGGCTTGATTTAAGGAACTTGATTTAACTTGCACCAGGTACATGTTGCCACGAAAACCTAGTTGCACCAGATAAAACCAGGTTGCACCCTGGTACAGTAAATTTATCAAAATTGATATGTGCACATAATCATGATAATCTTGAAGTATCCACAGATTGACGTTTAGCCCAAGAGGGTATGACAAATTATACACAACACAGTGATTATTTATGTAGTATGGTAAATAAAGCTTAGAAGTAGTGAGTGTGTTCAAAGACCCTTCTAAGTAAGGATTAGACACAAATTTGAAAGATTTTGACATGCACTTGGTGTATGTAGACATAAAGATAAGGTCATGTTTGTCATTAATAGGTTGCACTGGTGAATGTCTTATAAAGGTAAATTGCGCCCTTGGAGTGATTTTAAAGCCGTATTTAACAGTTTGCCATTTACATCCAAGGAATGTTAGCTTGTTGTGGGAGAAAATCATGAAGTAATGCATGTCTCAGACATTTACCATTTTGGTGAAACCCACAAGCAGAGGTATGGTGCTGACAAACTTAGAACGAATTGTTGCGAACCGGGTTTTGAACCCACTTTAACAGGTTTCTGGCATGACCAAAGGATGCAATTCCCAGATGACAGGGCCAGCTGTGTCCCCTGATGCAATGAGCAATGACCCACGCTGTTGGGGTACGATAATATGTAATCAATCAAGTCTTACGCCCAGCACAGGTTGTGAGGACCTGACCAGAATACTGATAGAAGATGTCAAATTGTTTGTTGTTTAACGCCCCACTCAGAAATATTCCAGCTATATGACGGCAGTCTGTAAATAAGCGACTCTGGACCAGACAATCAAGTGATGGACACCATGAGCATTGATCCAAGCAATTGGGATATGATGACATGCATCAACAAAGACAGCGAGCCTGACCACCCAATCCTGTTAGTCGCCTCTTACGACAAGCATGGGTTGCTGAAGGCCTATTCTACCGCAGATCTTCACGGGTCTAGATGTCAGAAGTACCATTGCATTGTTTGAGTGATAGTAGCAATGGTAATACCGGGAGAAGATGTAAGAAGTTCCATTGCTACTATTATTCAAACAATGACAGGCCTTAAGCATTGGAGGTAAATGGAAAAGTGAACAACGAACAGACAACATAAGACGATATAAGCTCACTTGACTTAAGGTGGGGTCATGTGAGTGAAAAATATAAAACCACCATGTTTGTAGTATAAAACCACCATGTTTGTAGCATAAAACCACCATGTTTGTAGTAGTACAACTGAGGAAAGTAAACATGTCAACAATGAATAAACGGAACCAGAAAACTTGAATCAAACTGTTAAAAACATGTCAAATCAAACATGCCAAACACCAGCCTTGATAGTGTAACAAACAGAACATGTGCAACATGGATGTGGAAAATACCTTCAACGCATGATCCGAGATTCCTGTAGGAGGTGACTTTCAACCAAACATTTGGTGCATCATGAACTTAAGACACCATGGTGCAATGCAATTTTTAATTTCCGGGACCACAAGCATAATCACACACATGAGGCATTGTATGATACAAGGTATCGTGACATTACAGTATTTTGAGGTAAAAGAAAGCAAGACCAGTAATTACTACCAGACCTTGCTATTTCCTGACACAACCCATGTATTATTGCTCAGCATTCAATAGTGGTATAAGAAAGTATTTCAAATTAATCTTCAAACCATACAGTGAGTGAGTGAGTTGGGTTTAACGCCGCTTTTAACAGTATTCCAGTTATATCACGGCGTGTCAGCTTAATGTGGGAGAAAAGCCCGAACTGATGCAGGTCTCAGACGTTTACCACTTCGGTGAAACCCACAATCACGGGTATGGTGCTGACAAACCTAGAAACATAATCGGGGCGAATCAGGATTCGAACCCACAATCATAGGTTTCTGGCGTGCCCAAGGGACGCAACTCTGCACATCGAATCCCGGTGGCTTAGACGACTGGGTCACCAGTGCCCCCTCAAACCATACAAATTACACAAACACTACTCACTATGTCACCATGTGGATCTACTATCCCTATTGGAAATTAACCATGGTCCTGGCATGCCTGGACTCAATGAGTTTGCTGCTAGAGCTATAGTATTCCATGACATGTAAGATATCCACCAAATGAGTAAATCCTTAACCAAATCTTAACCATTATAGTTACAACATAGATTCTCTTTGCCTAATTTCTGTTTTCCTGTTTCCTTGGATGTGCAATGCTTCTAGACGTGATACTGATGAGTACAGATTCTGTCTGTCCAGATCAAATCACAAACGGATTATTCAATCAAACACTCCAGCACACAGTAGTACAGGGAACGTAAAAGCGTTCACTATCTCACGATGGCCACATGTCAAGCATGCAGAGATTGCATCACACATACAACAAACATCCTTGTGTGGTTTGGAAACAAAATTTGTAAACATGGTCAACATGTCAGCTTTAGAAACTATCAGTTTCAGTCCACTAGTCCTTATAATGATAACATATAACAAAACCCCTAAAAAATGGCAAATTTCTACTGGTCCTTATGATACCTTTAGTATTGGGCAATTTGGCAAGGACTACAGGACTAGTGCCAATCTCTAACGCTGCATTTTAACCTGGGAAACACTGCATTTAAACATTATGTCTATCTCTGTTGGCCACTGCAAAAACTAAAATGCTGAATGCAGAAAATAAATTCTTCTCTCACAGAGGAGGATTTCCTCCATAATTCTACTACAATTCGAGGGGTACCTTCTGCTCATAATACTTGTACACTGTAAGCCTAATCACTCCATCATCAAAGCTGTCTAATATTCTCTTATGTCCCGGTTTTGTTTTTTAATTGACATCCTCTTCATTGTGTTATTTATCATACCGTAGGGTTGTTAGTATGAAAGTCCCAGAGCTTGGGCAGTTCAGTAACACGCCCTATCTAAACTCATAAATGGCTTCCCTCCATCTTTCTCAAGTGTACATCACTTGTACATGTTTCCTACTACAGACTCCATGCCGTGTACCATGGACGTGGCAATGCAAGTGTAATGCAACACATCATGGTAGCAGTGTTCACACAACAATTGTAGCGTCATTTTGATATTTTCTAAGATGCACATTTTTTCTAATTGACTAGCATTTGTGGATAAGATGTTTTATGAAGACTACAATGTTATTATTATTATTATTATTATTATGATTATGATAATGGAGTCGCATGCGCATATTTCTATAGTTTGTTTCAGACTTCCCTCATTTTGAATAAAACTGAACATGCTGTTTTCGGCCAAGTTTTTCTCCTGCAAAATTGTCGATAAGACTCTTTGTGACTGAAATACTTAAAAACATAGGTAGATCGGTAGAAGCTCTAGTTATTTGATATTTGAATAGCAGTCTGTGAAATATTCCATCTTGTTTTTAATGGGCAAACAGCATTTTTCTAGCATTTTCGACAGTACTTATACCATCTTTGAGGGCCCTGTGGCAATCTGAAATGGAATGATTTCTATTCATGAATGATAATTCATATAATAACATGACATTTTAGAGGGCCAATTCATTCAAAGTTCAGCTGGGTGCTGGCAGTAGACTTATCGATATTCTGACACCCACGCCTGCAACCTTCATGACTATATTAACGTATCATCAATATCAATATCTGACAAATGTTATATTTGGGATAACACTTTCTTAGCAAAGCACAGATTCTTTTACTTTTTGGGGTAGAGTCCCATCTGGGATTCGAACCCACACTGCCGAGTGAAGCACCTAATTGCCAGCACACAAAGTCAGCGATCTAACCCACTCAGCCACAGAGGCTTCCACAAAAATGAAAGTCTGACAACTGGTAGTCTAGATCACGTAATTTGTGTACCCAAAGACAAGAGTTTTCAGTGTTCCAAACATGTCAACAATCTTTTCTTCGCTCATATTTGAACTGCATATAACATATATTCCATTATAAGCTATCCAAACATACTTGTTTTTTTAATCCTGCACTCAACAATATTCCAGCAACATATAAATAATCAATTCTTGGCAACACAATCCAGAGCAACATCCCACGCTGCAGTGGTACGATGACATGCTATAAACCAGCTCACCGAGCCTATCAGCACAAACTATACAGTTTCCCTTTACAACAAGAATATGTTGCTTGGGACTAATTCTATCCTGGAATACCAACTGGGTTATATTGTAGAACAGGTATTTTCCAATCCAGTTATTGACGCTATGGTCAACGATCCATGAACACTGGCATGCGGTCAAGCAAGTCACTGAGCCTGACCACCTGATCCATTAAGCAGCTCTGCGACAAACATCAGGGGTATTATACAGAAGTATTTCCAATCTATACAGCACTAGATGAGTACAGTAAAGTAAAACACTTCATAACTATATCATGCATATAAATTGGAAAGTAATGAAGCACAGATTTCATAAATGGCTCATCAGTGGAATGGTTGATGAAATCAAATAATGGGAACAATAGTTAGTGGACACTGTTATCACGTCATGTTTTGTTACAATGTTACAGGAAGCATATTGCTCAGCGTTCATTTACTGTGCAGGTGGCTCTAGGTGAGTCATTAACATGACGACAGATGTGTACGTGGGCTTCCAGATGTAATGATGCTCACTGTGCCAACATCAATGTTCCAGACAGTAGGGGAGACTATTGGTCTGGAAATCACTATTGCTATAACTATTGATATTGAACGAAACTATTGCGTTAACTATTGATATTGCAAGCAAATATTGCGATAAATATTGATAGTTTTCAGTGTATCATTTTAGATGGGTTTTAGAGTTGAATTAACCTTGGAACTGAAGTTTCCTTTGAATGTGATAACCATAACAACAAATAAAAAGTAAAGTTTGAGATATGACTGATTTGTTTTTTCTTTACCCTAATAATTTATGAAAAAGAAACTTCCACATTATCATGTGTAAATTACTACCACTCATGATCAAAGGAAGAACAAATTTGAACAGCATTGCATGTATTTTATTGATGTGGTATATACAATCGAAACTATCGATATTCCTAACTGAAATCGAAACTATTGATCAGAAACTGATTTAACAATCAATTTATTGACTTTATGTGCTTAGCAATAGCAATATATCGATATTTCGATTTATTGTGACACCCCTACTAGACATTAGTGTAACATGATACACTTGCAATGTTAATAAGTCATAGTCCATCCTAACAGAAATGACCACATGAAGACCCAATCAAAACATATTTTCTAAACAGAGGTAAAATTAATCAAAGCCTTGCCAACTCAAACACAACATTAACAGAAAACAGCATTTTGCAAATCACTTTGATACCAAATATCACTAGACAAAGTCCTCATTGTCAAATTAGGAGATAAACCTATTATGTTTTTAAAACCCAGTTGGCGAAATCATTAATTCTTGAAAATGCTTCAAAGCCTGTTCAACAACTAGAAGACTGTTTGGATGATGTAAAGAGAAGGATGACTCGAAACCGACTTACGCTCGATGAGAACAAAACAGAAGCCATGCTTGTCAGATCTGGACCTAAAAGATCTCATCACTCAAACATCTATCATGACTGGAGATTCTTGTATACCATAAAGCAGCAATGTTAACATGGTTAAGAATTTAATTGTTTATCATATTTCCACTTATGAAACAACAGATTCATTCGCACATACCTCACAAAAGAAGCTGCACATCATCTGGTCAGGTGTCTGATCCTATCCATACTGTATTATTGTAAGGGGCTGCTCATCAACATCATTCAAGCCTACTCACCAAAATTCAGAAAATCCATAAGTGATCAATGCATGTGTTTGGCATATGTGGCAAGACAGCATCCATTACATCAGTTATTATGTCATTACACTGGCTTCATGTAAAGGGAGATAATGGTATACACTGGGATTTAAATTATGGAAGCAGATTATGTCAAATTATTCACAGTCACCTCAGGCTTGGCTGCAGCGATCTTACCGCAGATCAGTATGATAGATATATCTTGGATACAAAACTTGTTCCTGTGGATATCATACCAAAGATGCTTTACGCTTTTTTTGTGTGTGTACAAATTACTTTGTTCTTCGAAATGAAATGTATTTTTACCAACATGGTTATTCTTTACAAACAGTGCTATGCGGAAATTCGTATTTGAGTAAGGAAAAGCAAATCCTAATATTAGATTCTATTCAAAGCTTCATATTAAAAACTGGCAGATTTTCTCTTAAATGACTTGTTTAATATAAACTGCAAATAGATTTATTTTATATATACACATCTAGCTTGGCATGTACAATTCATGTGTAACATCTAACCTTCATTGTTGTATTTATTGTAATATGTCCTGTGTGTAATGGATTGGTATTAACATTAGTGCTTCGATTCAATACAAGATAAGTCCATATTCCTCAAACTGAAAACGGTTCATGTTGCATTTCTGGATTGCCTTACTGATTATGAGTGTATGCTGCGTATCGCGGAATTACACTATGTACAGCAGTGTGTATGCTCTTTTTCATGAAGCGCCCTGGAATGCATCTCATGCAACTGTATAGTGCCCCAGAATGCATCTCATACAACAGTACAACAGTTCCAATTAAGAAAATCGCCCATGTTCAGAGACATTTAGTCGAATGTGTACATGCTGGATTTTACCACGGTTTGGAATACAAGATGTCTAGTATACGCAAGCATGCAAGGAACCAGTTTAGCACACTGAGTAATGGAGTCAACTCAGGGTAGCCTTCTGTATTCTGATTTTCTTGGAAGCAAAAAGTCCCATCTGTTGTATGCATGCCGACTATGGATTCCTTCAGCACAACTGGCATATGAAATGACTTGCAGTTTGAACTAGCAGAATAAATTTCATCAGATATGTTTGGCAATACTGACATCATATCGTTATATAGTGGACACTGAGGACAATGGAATTATGACATTAATCAAGCAACACATCAAAAACAACATTGGTCGATGACAATGCACACGTGCAGTTTGAAAATATCTTACCCCGTTACTGAATTGTAATCAAACTACTCATTTTAAACTGTTCAGTGAAAATGTCAGTGCGACTTCAGAAAATAAAATGAAGAAAATACATTTCCTACATTCAATCTTATATGAGAAGCCGACTGTCACTGATAATGTTTTGATTTGACCACTGTTGACAGTTTGTTGTTTGATAACGTGACAATGTTGTCAGTTTGCATGTGTTGCTTGGATCCGTCTTTACAATATAAAATCATGTTAGATATAAGTGCAACAAAAATAAATACCATGGTTAGTTCGAATTCTGACAGATGTTTTAAGCCTTGGTTAATTTGAGGACCTAAGTCCATAACTGTTTACGTTTGGTCCATAAACTTCGTCATGGGGTCAAAGTTTCGTTGTCTGCTGAACCATTTTGGTCCGAGGTTATCTAAGGGACATAACTCTTTCGTTCAAAAGAACTCGCTTACCACAAGAAAAATAACGCAAAACCCCTTCAAGATCGACACGATTTATAATGTCCGAAACTTCTTGAAATAATCAAAAGTTATTCACAGTTTCATATCGTTTTCACAAGCGCACAGAAGCTAACCAAATAATTACACATATGTGAAAGTCACAAATACATATCATCGCGTTGTTCATGTGATTAGCGAGAAAACTACGAATGTCACACAACCCATATGTTCGCATGAATATACATCCATGCGTGGATAACCTAAAATTAGGTCAGTCGATGCAAACTGTCTATTTTTCATTTCAGTTTTGCTATTTTAACGAAAGGTTAATTTGAAACCTATTTATTGTTTACCGATATCCAGGCAACGTACATCTAACATTTGTTTTCTATGACAACCACAGAATCATCACAGCTAGTGGCCACTCTTGTACAATAATAATGAGTTAACTCAATTGAAATGTGGAAGGAATTTAGGACTGAAGTGGTGCAGGTCTAAAGTTACCCACGAACACGGGTATGTTGCTGACAAATCAAGAACTATAAACAATTTGGGAATTTTTACATATTTTGGTCATCCCTCCGTACACTTCTCACAGCTGTTCGAGAAAAGAACGTGATTAAGTAAAATGTTGTCTCTGCTCCGTGTTAGGACTGGTAGTAAACCCAAAAAACAAAACAACGTTAACAACCGATTATTTTTAAATATTAAGATACTAGTACAATAAATGATTTTTTTGGTGATATATATATATAAAGCAATTGGTTGGTTTGTTGTTTAACGCCGAACTCAGCAATATTCCAACTATATGACGGTGGTCTGTAAATAATCTAGTCTGGACCAGACAATCCTGTGATTGATATCACGAGCATCGATCCACGCAATTGGGATCGATGATATGCATCAACCAAGTCAGCGAGCCTGACCACCCGATCCCGTTAGTCGCCTTTTACGACAAGCATGTGTTGCTGAAGACCTATTTTAACCCAGATCTTCACGGGTCTTAGATCATTAAAATGAGAAGGAGCCATTTGTGCTAAACCGTTAGCCTGCTGCATTTGACCTACACTGTTTTTTTCCATTATACTAATAATTCTGAGAAGCAATAACTAGGGTCTGATGCACGTGATCTACAGTTTGTTAAAATGTTATTATGTCTATATGAACAAATGCCTGTTTTAAGCAGGTATACATAGAGTCTGTATTACCGCTACATTAATACACAAAATATAACTCTATGGTTCTGTTGGTGTTATATATCCACATATTTGTTGGGGAAATAAAAACAAAAATAATATAAAAAAGAATCATAAACACGTGACCAATATGTTTCAATAAAGGAACGGTCATTTGATATGAAAACAAAATAATTTTGAAACGACTGGATATAATGTATTATTTGCTATACATATATAAGCTGCGAATTTTGGCATGTATGAAATGGAACAAAATATATCCGACAACAGTGATTTGCTTATCACATGTTTAACCTAAATTATATAAGTATTGAAAGCCAAAGGGAAAACCTTTATACATTTGTTAATTGTTTTGCAACTTAAATATCAATCTAAAAGTACCTATTATTCTATTTACGCCGATACAATGTCAATTCCCGTAAAATCGCCATCATATAGCTAGAATGATAGTTAAACAATAAACAAACAAACAATTCCCACAAGGCATGCACTATAGCTTATAATAATATCAAGGCCTATTTTAAGTGACGTGATTGTTACATTAACAAATATCATATCAGGTTTCAGGGGATGTGTATTTTCAGCAGGTGTTCGCCAGCATTGTCACGTGGTGTCGCAATTGCAAGATTAACCAATCAAAGCTCACTTCCGTTGCACGAGTTTTCCGTGCGCGTCAATTCCAGACTCGTGAATGGAAGCAGAAGTAACGCATATCCAGCAACTCCACCGGTGAGTGTTTAATCCAAACAGGGTAAGAATTCGTTAAAAACTGAAATGAAAATGAGCTTAGACAACAATTTTTACGCGCTACAACGTTGTTTTTAAGGGAAAACAAGGTTTTTGATGTGAAGTACGAAGACTATCCACAAAGAAACGTCTTTCAATGTGACTTCTTTATCGGGGCGGTCCGATAGCCTAATGGTTAAAGTATTTGCGAAAACCCACGTTCGATACCTTAGATTGGTGCCTCCCGTCATTAAGGTAGGTAATACTATTACCACCCCTATATCTCCAGGGGTCGCATTCGGCCCAGGAAATAGAGAGAATGTTTTATTACGAGAGGTGTAATATACTGCATATTCACTTTCACCTTCCAGACAGCGAGGTCCGTCTCCCTGGACCACGCGTTCTTAGCGCTAAGATGATCGTAACTTTCATACTTTAACATAGACTTACGACAGTCGTAGCGCTACGATCACTTTGTGGAACAGGGCCCTGGTCTAGTGGACAGTGCGCCTGGCCGGAGAGCGGAAGGTTAGACATCCTGTCTGCATCATACCAAAATGTTTTAAAAGATGCTATTTTCTGTTGCCCCGCCCTACGCTCGGCATTAAGGTGATGAAACAAGACCTGGTCGGCTCGGAGTCTGTATACTGTCTCAGTGCATGAAGTATCCATTTTAAACAGCGCCATAATATTTCTATCACGCTAGCACTATAAAACCAGCATCGGTTCGGACTTGTACACTCAGACACACACACACGTGCATGTAAAAACTTCATTTCACCCCACCTCTGACCGCCTCTGTGGTCCAGTGGTAGAGCGTCCGCCCGGTTCGATCCCCGGCCGCGTCATATCAAAAGACGTTAAAACGTGGTACTTGTTGTTATCCTGCCTGCCGCTCGGCATTAAGGGGCTGAAACAAAGACTGGTCGGCTCGGAGTCACTATACTGTGTCTGAGTGGGGTATTCATGTTAAACCGCGGCATGGTATCTCAGTACTACAATGTAGTGGGCTAGCACTATAAAATCAGCATTAGTCGTGACTAGTACAAGTAGACACACACACACACACACACACACGTGCATGCACGTCGCTATATAAGAGCAATAATCGTGGAAGCGATGTTAAACCCAATTTCACCTCACCTCACAGCTATAGCGTTCGAGACTTTGTTCTGAACAATACACCGTTTGTTTGACGGTGTAAATATGGTTAATTATAAATTGTATACTGACACACAATTAACACGCGAGATCCATTTTAAGTCGAAATCAGAAACGATGTATGTTTGTGTGAGATTCGAACCCGTACGACTACAATGCTGTGTTTAATTATTTCAGGTCTCATTACACAGACGATTTGATATGTGTTGTCTCATTTTGCCAAATATTACATTAAAATGAATATACGTTTTCCTAAATATGTGTAACATGTATCCTGATGCAGAATAGGAAATGATGAAGTTTTGAACTCGTGATACGCGTCTCCAGACCCACACTCCATTGTGCAACTACGTCCATCCTACATGTAATGCACGTGACTGAATCAATCTGTCAATGGTCGGACATATGCAGCAGAGCTAATTGTCTCCACCGTGTTTTACTGTTTTGCTGCATCAAATATAGGCATCAAATCATGTACACTTATTCCAAATGTCAATACCTTAATCAACATTCTTCAAACATGTACACTTGTCAAATGTCAATGCCTTAATTGACATTCATCAAACATGTGTAGTGTGTGCTGAATGTGATCAAATCAGATATTGTCCCAATAGAAGTGGTAATTGCTATTGTGTAAATCCATGGTTTTGAACGGTCAATTATAAGACAAGTTCAAATGCAAATATCCCTCAAGAATTGTTTTTCGCATTTTTAAGGCTCGGGCAAAACACTTTATAAATTCCCACACACATATACACAAGTCAGATAACAAGTTCTATATGCATCACTATTATCGTTTATCATAGCTACACAATCCATTTCATGCATACCAAAAGTTTCTTTCAAAACTTTCAGGGCTCTGTTCTTGATAAAGGTGGTGGTTATCCACGCCATGAAGGGTAATAATGCCATCATATGCTACTCAAAAGAAGTTAAGGATCACCCGATTCTTTCATAATGGTAAGGTTAATCTGTCATGACATGAGAGATTAACTATTGTAATATGAAAGAATCAGGTGATCCTTAACTTCTTTTGAGTAGTATATATAGGGGTGCGAGGTATTACCTCTATATCGGTAAATTGAGGTTCATTTTTTCCATGATGTGTATCACAATATCATGTTTAATGCTCGGCATATCGTGTGATTTCAAGTACATGTAGCTATTTTTATCATGTGTTTAATGTTATACACTTGCCAAATACATGTACCTTCGAAATGTTTCCGTCACTCCAAAATGCAAGTTCGGATTCTTCTGGGGTGTAACACCAAGTAATCACTGTCCCGGAGCGTGCATCCTTGCGTTCCTGCATCCTTGCGTTCCTGCATTATGGGGGGCGGTCGGGTAGCCTAGTGGTTAAAGCGTTCGCTCGTCACGCCGAAGACCCGGGTTCGATTCCCGACATGGGTACAATGTGTGAAGCCCATTTCTGGTGTCCCCCGCCGTAATATTGCTAGAATATTGCTAAAAGTGGCGTAAAACCAAACTCACTCACTCACTCACTCCTGCATTATGCTTTTCCAGCATCTTGTTTTGTTCCATTTGTGAACTTCAATTCCTGCATTGATGTTTCAAATTGCTTCTGAATTTAAAAATTTGAATTCTACAATATATTGTGATACGCATCGCAATATGGTCTAGTGCATTGCACACTATTGTGATACACTTTAAACATCCAATCCCTACTCATAGAAGACGCGGATCTGTGCCTAAATTACACCCCGCTACATGCTAATCACATAATGTCATATTGCATTGGCCAACACATGTAACATACAAAACAGCATGAAATAATGAAGGCTTGAGGCCATAAGGTATATGAGACATGTGCATATCTATATTACAATGATTGATAGAATAGTAATAAAATAC